AACTCCACAACAATATGCAGATTGCATCCACAACATACCCAAAGCCCTCCGGTTGCCCTCAAGAGGCGCCCTCAATTGCATCCGATCAGGCGAAATAGCATCTATCCATTCGATACCCCGCCCGGGGGGCCTTTTACGAGTGATATCCTATGAATACAATATCTACCTCATCCGCGCACGCTCCATCTACCCTACCCATTCTGCTTGCAACTTTCGTGGACTACTCTAACATCCTCCGAATAAGCCTCGTATATGCACAATCCCTCTAAGACCCGCTCGCGTAGAACATGATGACCTTTTTTTTAAAGGGGTTAGTCCAGGAGTGCCGGCGCTTGTGCATCACTATCTGTCACTCGGTGATAAATATAGATTCAGGAGGGGCAGATACTGACTCTTGCGCGTGGTGAGTGGTTCGGGTCTTTACTTTCCTTTTGACTCACTAGCGCGAGTGCGTGTGCATGTATGGATTTAAGGCCAATCTCGGTGAGGTAGCGTAGGATGCGGAAGAGTAGCATAGGTAGGCGAGTGCGGGGAAATGTTGTCCAACAGATTGTAATACGGCTGTACCGTTGGGTAAGCAGTGCCTTGTGGGTAATCCCGTGACTCGTTGGGACCCGACGGAAGAGAGAGGCTTTCCGAGAAAGACGCAACGAACGGAGGGAAGACTCGCAGCATTTTTTTCTTTTTTTCCTTCATTTTTGTCAAACCAGGATAGAATTTCCCTCCCCCAACAGGGCTCTCCCGGGGTTGGATCCCCTCTAACCCCGATGCCCACCTACAGCTCAACCCCCCTGTCAGAGGCTTTGGTGATCTGCTGCTTCTCTGCGTTTGAGTCTTGTCTGGACCACGGGTGATAAGCCTCATACGATACTATCGTGTGTCTTAACAAGTATTTCCCATGACAATCATCGGCACCCTTGTCCGACCTTACCATACTACTCCACACCAAGTATAACCCCGGGCTATCCTAAAGCGCCCCGAGAGACGCCATCGGGCTACGGCGCTCTCTTCAAGTAACAGAACTGGGGGGCTCAAGGACTCAATTAAAGTTTGCTCCTCTTGTCGCCGTAGATGCAGGAGGAGCCAAAATACAACAACACAGATCGGTGAAGAGCCCGCCAAAAGCACACGATGTAGTGTCACAGAGGGGCTTAAAAAAAAATAAAGAGAGTCTCGGAGTGTCGCCCGTGGGAAAACATGATCCAGGATCCTTATTCCTCTTCCTAGCACTCGAGGCAGGGCATAGAAGTGGATCCGCTTGCTTTTTCCATTCTCCTGATCCCAGTCTCCTTTCTTGTTTGACCAAAGCACCCCTCCGGTGGGGCTCAAGGAGAGATGGAGTCGGAGAGATTAAATTATTAGAAATTTCTTAATCGGAGGAAAAGGTTAGGCAAATTAGGGCCCACGATGTAGTGTCATGGCAAAAGAGCCTCACCCGGATAATTTTCTGGCCCTACTCGTCCCCAACCACAAGCACCCGAAGACAGGGGGGTAAAATACTCGAGTACAAGGATATTTTACCACATATTTCTTTAATCCCTATTCTCGGGTACTTACGGCCGGGGACGAGTACCATCTTCTTGTGGCCCACTGTCGTAGCTAAGTTAAAGCATAGAAAAAAAACAAGTAACAAGTACCGTAGCAAGAGAACTAGCCTTCACCGACTCACATCCAGTTCTCAGAAAGTTAGATCTGCCCGGCCCCGTGAAAGAGAAGAAGGAAATATAAAACAATAAAAAACCCTCAGATCGACCATACGTTCTCCTTCCGATCAACCTCAAGCCGGTTGGGTTCTCGTACCACACACACACGCACACAGGCACACACACGCACACACACGCACGCACGCACACACACACACCACCAACCCAAAAACCAAAGCCAACCACCCCCCACCCGATCCCAACGTGGTGGGAGCTTCCCGTACCCAAGCAAAGTCTAACTTGTCTACTTTTTATTACCGTATCCACCGATCGATAGCCCTGCCCTGACTCCCTACCCTGGCCCCGGTGGAATTTTGGAGAGGTGGGGCCGTTACTCATAATCCCTATCCCTACAAGTTTCTAGCCACTGAAGGAAATAGCCTTCTCTCAGCCGCGCTTTAGCCACCCTTCCATTCCGCAGCCCAGCGGGCTGGTGTGTTGTCTGGTTAAAATAAACTTGCCGCGACTGGCGAAGGACAAGGGATGAGTTGGTATGATGCGGAACTCGAGCAGATGGGTGGGCCTGGAAGGTAAGACAAGTGCCAGCCTCTTGTGGCTGCGGATGAGGTGAGGTGAGGTTAAAATATCCGAATGTCTGTGCTTTCTCGGCTTCACCTGCTCCTTGGCGAGCCGGGGGGGGGGGGTTTGGCCCGCATTGTGGCGTGGGGGGTGGAGGGAATTCACTGCGCCAGGAGGTAATGGTTCGATGATAGGGAACTGCTTGTGAAATGCGGTGGACATAGTGTAGTATTGTCATTTCATGTACTTTACCGTACTCTGGAATGGTCCGCATCTACGGATTGAGTCCTAACCGGGTTTCCCCCCCCCCAAGCCTCAACTTATGCCCGTGAGATGCCGTACTTCCATGCTCCACGCTACTGTATGTACTGTACTCTGCAATGCTTCAAAGGTTTCACTTGGACAAGCAAATAATAATCCCGTCTCATGCGTTCGCTCACTCGGTATACCGGTAATGTGATTAAATCCGCCCACTTCCAGATCGCTAATCTCGCGAGCGCGGACCCATGATATGTCCGCCCACCCTTCCATAACCTTCTCTCGCAAGTCGTATATCCCGCATAAGCCACTCTTCCACCCCATCCATTCTCCGACACGTGAAAAGCCTCCAAAATCACGCTTTATTGAATGAAACCCACAAGACATGTCCCCGTTGCAAAGTGCAGAAAGGTAACCTCTCCCTCGGGTAAACATACCCCCCACCACCCTGGAAAGAAGCACACCTCCCGTGGGATCCGGATAACTCCGATTTGAACATCACACGGGTATCGCATAGAACGCATTCCGGCTCCTTCAGTGGCATGCGTTGAATACCCGGCACCGCAGTTGGAGTGGCACAGTTGGGTTGGTTCCGTAGCTAGTGAGGGTACCCGTAGTCGGTATAATAACTGTAGTTGGTAGCGTAATCGAGACTGCCACAGCGGGCGAGCTCTGGCATTGCATGTCTGTCAGGTTACGGTACGATACCCTGCCCTTTCCTTGCTTCTGCCCTAGCCTGCTCCATTCCTACTAACCTTCCGTCTTCTTTTGCCTTCGCCATGGGTGAAGAGATATCCCTGTGTAGATCCTCCCTTTCAACCTTTCAATTACTCATCAATCGTTAAACAATGAAGCAAGGGACGAAACCGGCAGCAAAGTAGATTTCCCTGAAATTATTACACCCACCAATCAGAGTAGCGGCCAACGAAAAAAAAAAAATTTGCTTACGGAGTAGCAATAACCCTACCGAGGCAAATTTCCGTAAGCGGTAAAGCAAGCGTTAGCGCGGGGCTTTGGCTATCTATTGTTGGACATACTGGACCTCGGCGACGTCGGCAAGGTGAATTTTGGCAGGTATTAACTTATCATGATTGATGTTGCTTTGCTGGCAAGACACTAACGCTTGGCGGATGGAGTTAACTATGCAACAGAGAATACTTAATTTACGCTCTTACAATGCACTGTACGAGAGGCTAGCTGCCATACCAAGATGGGGAATGCAGCGGAGAGGTGGATGGATGCAAGTTGGCTTTCTTCACTTTCACCGTTATGATAGTTGGTAACACCATGGTAAGTAAGCTGCATATGCTATAATACCTAGGGTCGCTAGTTCGTATACCGGTACTAGCATGGAGCTCAAATACCAGCATTTATGATCCACTACCGGTATCAAGGCTTACATCCGGGAAATGGTAAGCTCCCACCTCATTACTCCCATCCAATAGAGGCCAAAGGTTTGCTCTCCAGGTTTCCCCCGCCGCCACCCCCCCCGGAACTTCCCACCCCTCCAATCCTCCCGGAGAGCGCTAAACGCAAATCTCCCCGGTATACCAGTCATCACTTCCATCTCCAGCCAAACGTTGCACAGGTCCCACGCGGAAATCACGTTTCGGTTGCCAAGTAAACACGCTTCCTGAAACCGTGCTGGCCCCCCGAGCACACCCTGCGCCTCAAAATGGGTAGGTTAAAATAAAACGAAATGCTGAACGCATTGGTTGCGCACCCCTTCGGCACTATCGCATGGCACTGGCCTGCGGGCACAACGGTACAGACGGTATCAACTGAGGCACTATAAGTAGATAAAGAGCCATGGGAGGGAGGTAGCGGGGGGAAAGGAGGTAATGTGCACAAGAGCCTTGCACAGAAACTTATACTTTGCCTTCTTCTATGGTAAATACCTTTACCATACTGTGAGTTTTATTAATTAATTAGGGGTGATAATCTACCCCCCAGGACCTTGTTCCGCTTAGTTAGTCCAAGCTTTGGCGGTTGCTCCCACTGGTAGATGTACTACAGGGTGAGAGTATCGAAAAAAGATGCTCGAAATTGGTGGTGGTTGTATGGAGAGACTTAAAAATTAATAAATAGATAACTAAGCTAATTATGAGGGTTGTCCGAGAGTGCTAGAGTTATCTCGGAGGAGCCACAGGACTAACTTGATTCTCGGCCGTGAAGGAAAGATGTAAACAAAAACGAGTGAAGGCCGTGTAAACGCAGAGGAAACGCCAGAAAAGAATGAAAAAGAAAATCTTGTAGAATCTATAAGCCGACCCCGGTGCGCCAACTGTCCCCAATTTCCCCAATTCCTATAGCTTTTTTTTTTGTGATTATTTTGACTTTTTCGAAGAACGCCTTCCCAATCCCACTCCCACTCCCTACTCCCGCCGGCACCAGACAAGATGTTCCGCCTCCCTTCCCTCTCTTAGGCTCTCGTGAGCGCCTTTAGAGGTGAGTTTTTCGCGGTTGAGGAGGTGAATGGAAAAAAAAGTTCCTTGTGATAGATTGTCGGCTTCCCCCCACCTAGTAGAATTCAGCGGTGACGGGAGGTGAGTTGGACCAATGTTTGAGCAATCTATCAACAGCGTTGGTCCATTCCTGGGTAAGGACGTTGGCAAGTTGCTGTGCGCTTGCTGCATCCGGAACAACGCCCCCCCACATTGCGGGTTGGAAGGCGGTCTTGGTCGCGTATTCAATAATCATGTTGCTAGTGAATCGTCAGCCCGAGGAATCCCAATACGAGTCTTGGAATGAGAGAGGAGCAAAAGGAACTAACTCGTTTTTCATCTTGGCAAGCAGGAGCCAAGCAAAGTTCCAGCTCCTATTACTGGTGGGGTCGTTGTAGACCCTCCATTTGCTATTCTCCAAGAGCTCGTTTGAGAAGGGGTATTGGCGCGTTAGGCCTCGGAGTTCGTTGAGGAAGTTGGAGCCAACATAGTGGTTCCATGCATCTCTCATGGCCGTGCAGTATTCGATAGTGTTGATGGAAGCTAAGACTTTTTCAATTCTCCGCAACTCAGTGAGCGTATTGACCCTGTGGCTGCGGAGAGTATGTAACATTTGGTTTATCTCAGTCTGAGAAATAGTCAGCATTTCAAGAACTATACAATGGTTTTCCGGAATAGATTATGGCATTACCTGAGAAACAGTGCCAGGACCGCTGCCAGGCGCCCCGCCGGTAGAGGAAGGGTATGAGTAGTCGGAAGGAGAGCTAGAGTAGTTGGACATTTCTGGATCGTCGTTTGGGTTGGCTAGACTTTTGTTGAAGGAATCTGATTGAGCTTGGAGAATTGGGTGAACTCTGATTGTGGGGGTTGTTGCTGAAGTAGAAATTGGTATTGGAGCCAAAGAAGTAGAAGAGGGAGCGGGAGAAGACCGAGTTGGTTCTTGAGCTAAGAGATGTGGTTGCTGTTGGTTGCTTGAGGACATGTTTCGAGGGGGGGGGACAAGGAGGTCTTATAAGTGTTGAATTGAAGCCTAGGTTGGTAGGGTGCTATCCCAGAGTTCTAAGGAAGGCAGTGGACGAGATAGCTTGCCTGAACTTGGGCCGAACCGTGCTTAGACCTCGGGAAATTTGCAAGAGAGAATAGGAGCAATGTAAATAGCAATGAGCTTTTCTGAAACTTCCACGAGTATAGTTGCAGGGCTGTTTAGAGATACCGGTACCCCTTCAACTAATACCAGCCAGGTCTGGACGAATTCGGAATTCACTGTTTAGAAGCCCGGCTCCATGATCTGCAGCAGCATAAACGGGCTGACGCCGCACTTATACTAACCTGAAGGCTGCGGGGCAGAAGGGAGGATGAGTAGGAGAGCAACCAAGGTGGTGGTGGGGGCGGCAGCTACCTTCTACATGACCTCACCAGTCTCTTATTTTATTTTTGCTTTTCTTTTGCTTTTTAAGAGGGTATGGCCAGGCCTGCTGCTTCAACCCCCTCGCCGTTGAGGGACTCATACAAGGCAAAGTAGATCTCGCCGAGAACCCATCTAATGCGGGAGCGTCCATAAGGCTAGCTCTTAAAGGATATACATACAGGCTACATACTTCTCGGAAGACCTGGCCCTTGGGGACATCTGTCTCACGCCCCTAGTTAGGGTGGAGCCACTTAACCCATTCTGTGCCGGTGGTCTGTAGTAAAATCCAAACCCAAATCCCGGATGAGAAAATCAAGCTGAACTATAAGCACTATTTCTCCAGGAAGCAGCATCAGCTACCGGTACCCATTAGGATCCTTGGACAAAAGACTAGTTGTGACCGTGCCAGGTGGGCGGAAATAGATTGGCGCGGGTAGAAGTTTGGATCTCAAGAAAAAACCCTTTAAGGGTGTGAGGAAGTGAGAGGTGGGTAGGGCCAGCTTTCCTGTAGAGAATTACCAATGTCTCCCCCGAGAAGTCCATAGCGCAGTGGCGTTGTTGGCAACCGTTGTGTTGTAAAACGGTACCGGAAAGCCAAGGTACCGCAAGGGGCAAAAGAACTGGCAACCAGGCAATTTTTGTAGAAAAGGTCTGGACACTAAATTCCCCAACCAGATCACTCTTGGTGAACAATCCTCATGCAGACGGGCGGTGCATTCCCACAGGATACCTCGGAACGGGTAATTAATCCACCTTTCCAGCTCATTGGTTACTTGAAACGGGTTTGGTTGTGGCACAGCGGGGGGATATTGTTGGGCTTTGCTGCGATATTGGCGAAGGAAGAATCAAGGAAGAAATCTATTCGCTGAGCCTCATTCCCTCCTTCCGTCAATGCAAGGCCAGTACTGTACATCAAAAAACCAGAGTTTCTCACATAATCTTTCTTTTTGCGATACCGGCACTTGGCCTGGCTGCGGCTCTCACAGCAGTGCTACGTGCCGAGTTGTTTTTCCACACCCTCCCCCCTCCGCCCCATAAAGGTCAGGGTATTGCTAGACGCATTTAGTGAAGAGGGCAGCACATGTTCCCACCGCGCCCTGCATTTGGGATCGGGGCGGGCAAATTTTCACAGATCTACCAGACCATCGGCTCTCTCGCTTATGGGGGTGGAGTGTGTGCGCGCCCACCCCCATCCCACCCTAACTCCCGTCACACAACTACCCTCCAACCGGCGTGATTGTGTTACAGCCTATACATTGTCACTTTCCGCAGGTTTTTTGACGTCCAAACCCTGGTATAATATCCACCGGTAGGTCACAGGCGTCCAGCTATATTCGTCACCTGACAAAGACCTAATGACCCCCCGACCCGGCCCAACCAGCTAGTCACTAGAGAGAGCCCAGGGTTCTCGCGACGGGTGGGTGATCTATCGTACCTTGATAGCACCAGTCGATACCTGGTATTACGATACAACCGAGAAATCTCAGGCGAGGGCGTGTGTTATGCGCGTGCACGAGTAAGGATCGGGGGCTTTGGGTGAGAGCAGGGGAACAAATGGGGGATAAAGAAATAAAAAAAACCCCCGTCAGCGGAATCGATATTAATCATTCCTATTTGGATATCCGCCCCGGGCCATAAGTACCCGAGAACAAGGAGGGGGATATCCTCTACCGGGCCTCAGATTTTTCCACACCAATTACTGGTCTAATCCTTGCTTTCGGGTATTTATGGCCTGTGACTATTAACGTACCGGCGCCCACAGCAATCACTCCCAGCCAGTCCTAGTTATTTCCTCAGGAAAAGAGCTTCTAAGAATCAAGAAGGACAACGTACCCCACCCTGTTCTGGTATGTGAGCGCCTTGGAAAAGAAAAGAGGAGAAAAAGAAAAGAAAAAAGGTTACACCAGCGTTGGCTGGTTTTTCCCTTTCCCTTTGGAGCCCTTTGCATCGTGGGTTGTATGCGCGCCGTACTGGATTGTCCAGTACACCGCAGATAGCATCAATCAGCATACCGTGCCGTTTCTACTGCAGTGTCTAAATTACCGATAAGTAATGATTATTGAAGTCAGGATGGGCCAGTCCGGAAAGGGGCAACAGAGCCTCAACACTCGTCAAGCCCTAGCCGCCGCGGTACTGAGCCACCGTGACAAATTCTACGTACTTACATGCGTCGTTTATTAACTTAGCTCAAGCACGCAAGTAGTTGGCCCTTTTTAACAAACTTATACTCGGAGTTCCTGCTACCGGGTGCAACGAACTAATGCGTTCACGATAGGTTAATGATAATAAGGGCCGATGCGAGGAGGTCAGGCCTCCACGGGGACGGTGAGTCTGTGGGATACCTGCACCTATTACTATCACAGCCTTGACTAATAATGCAGGGCCTAGAAAGTTAGCCAAGTTGTGTCTCGTATGTATGATAAGTTGAAACGAGAAATCGTACAGTGGGCAGCGGTGAAACCCAATCACTGGATAGCAGGTTTGGTTTATCGCGATACGATATCCTAACAATTCCCAATAGTTGGGCACTGGGAGCTCCCTTTGGAGCAGGATCGTTGACATCCAGTGGTACCCTTGAGCTAAAAACAGAGGGGAAAGTTCAAGTTGGGTTCCCTCACGGGGGCGGATTAGATTACCGGTGTTGGGATTTCAGCCTACCCACGACAAATCATTCATCTGTCATGCTTCTCCGTTGACGAACATGACACTCGGCACATCTTAAGCGCATATCTCAAACTCCAATAACAAAGCCGAGTGTGCCCTTCTCTCCCTGACCAACACAGAGCTCACCAAACACGTCAAGCGAGAGGGGGAAAAGAAAGCCGGATTACTCTCATACTATTTCCTTTTCTCTCGGATCCCATCCCGATCCAGAGGAAGAAAAAAGTCCCCGAGTGATGGCCTATGAGCGATAATATTTCGACCCGTTCACCGAGCCCTCAGAGTATCCAGGATGGACGCACTCTGCGGGGGGGCAACTGGGTTTCGGTCCACACCCCCTGTGTGACAACCAAGTAGGTGAGAAGAAAATAAAATAAAATAAAATAAAAGAGGAGAAGAGAAGCCCATGCCGCATTTATGACTCTCACAAAAGGTCCCTGAAGTGGGAGAGCCGGGTTTGTGCACGGGAGACATTCCAGGTGCGAGATTCGAAAAGGGTTCTTAAGGGAGCTGTCCGGAGAAGCGGGGACGTTAACACGGCTGTTATCCGGTCCTGGGTACCAGCCATCTCTCCTGGCCTTTGCGCTACCTAACCAAGCGGGAACTCTAGCAATGGAACTGGTTACCTATCCCGATGCAGCGCTCGTGATTCAAGGAGGAGGGGGGTTCGGTCCAAATGGCAGTGTGTAAAGAGCTAACGTTATAGAGGTATAGGCGGAGCTCTTGAATATAGCTCATAGCTAGTCGATCATTGTGTCTCATCCAGCACCGCAATGCTAGACCACAGCACTGTCAGAGATGGTAGTTCCAATTTTACACTTCCTGCTCCAACCCTCTCATCAGTAATTGTATAGATATATCTACAAGTGGTAAATAATCTAAGAGGTCAATGTCTAACTACTATTTTATCAAATAGGTCGGGGGTTGTGTGGCATAGGTAACTTTAGGCAGAAGAACTTTCAAGCCAAGTGTAAGAGCCAAAAATTTGTATGGGTGCCCATAGAAAAAGGTACGGTACACCACTTTATCGGAGGTTACTATGAAGGAAAATGCTCCTCTTAACTGCGGAAATTTTTTTTTTTCATCTCTCGGGTCGCAAGTCCCCGCCCTAAGGTGACAAGAAACAACACCATCTGAGAAAAATACGCGGGTGACGATGATATATACTACTGCACTGTGATTGGTCCCCTGACGATGCGACGATATAGGATGTGGTTTAGTGGGATCCAAAAACGAGGCCCGGTGCGCTTATCCCCCAGATTTCCTACAATATTATGAAATAGTTGGTCTACTCGTCATCTATTCCCCAGCTGCTATAACTAATTCCTATCATGTTCCACAGATCTCTTGCTAGAAATAGTATATCATTCCGTGCTCCATCGAGTGATAGGCTACCTGGATAATTGAACCCCCCTAGGTACAATCTAATGCAGGAGAAATTTCTAGAGATCCATTTGTAAGATATCGGCAAGGGTGTGTCCCGCAAGGCAGCGACGCTAAGAGTACAATTCAGTACAACCTGTTCGGGTATCCTCGTTTGTAACTCCGTTCCACAACCATGGACAATCGATCTCAACAATCCGCAATCTATTCACCCCTTTTCCCTATACACCTCTTTCTGCCTGCCAGACGCCTCAGAACCGGACATATACCAAGAGAGGTTTCAATTCTGAAATGGCCGTTACGCCCTACACATCTCAAGGTTTGATTACTCGGATGGGCCGGGGCGACTCCGGGAGAAGACTGTATTGTGCCATGCCCCAGTGCACCAGCTGAATCCAAGATATGGTAAGTGTCCCGAAACCCCAAGTTCCCTGTTCTACCTCAGCAGTATCCCGATACCAGCTAATAGTCACAATACAGCACATGCTTGGTCAATGGAGCACAACGAGCCGTCCACAATGCTAATAACCACACGGCAAACTTTTGTCCTAACGCCGCTATCCTCCAGCGGGTGCTACTATGCAAACCCTTCAACTATCAAGTTTACAGTGCATCCATACAAGCCGGATGCAGTGATTGCCATCCGGAAACACAAGTCACCCATCCTAGCCTTTCCCCCCCAAAATTTCTACCCCTGATCAACTTAGGCTACCGAAATTATGCGTTGATTTCATTCGAGGTGTGAGGCTTGGCGAAGCTTGTGATCATGTCGGCACAAGTCAACTGTGAGTCCCCCTTACATCGCTTGAGTCAAGGGTTTGCTTTTCCTACTCTCTCCCTCGCACCGGCATATGTCTTGTACCATCATTACCACAAGCGCTCGAATTACTCGGGCTTTGATTATGATAGCGAACGAGCGTCGTGAAAGTATGCGGTAAGTAGGTGGTTCGGATTCTGTGGCATTGGATGCGGCGAGGCTCTTGGTCATATTACACTCGAGTTGCGGCTGAGAATACTTTATTTGAGCCGCAACCACAACTCATGCATGCATTGAGATGATGGAGGTGTCAGGATTGCTACTAGCCCCTATGCCAAATGATGACCATGTTTCGGTGCATTTGATCCTTGTCCCTCTTTCTTTTTTTCTTCTCTTTTCCTTCCGCGATCCTAGTTTGTGGAAGGTCATGGCCAACTAATCAATGATAGTGAAGCACAGGGCTGAAGCTGGATTACCCGAGAGGGCTTGTCTGCAGCTTTTATCGGTCGCAAGGATACATCTGTCCTCTAAGCAACATGCGTTTCGTATTTTTTTTTCCTCCTCCCATCCTGCCACAAGATTGCAGTCAGACAAAACCTCACACTCAGCCCTAAATGAGGAGCACAACCTCCTGGGGACGGGAGGATCAAGCTTTAACTTAGAAGATTTGTCCGGCGGAACAAATGCCCTGGCAGACATCGTTCCCTCACTTGTAAAACGCCCCGGGAGGGGATACTCGAGCCGCATGCTAAAGAGCTTCAAGCAGGGTTCCGAAGAAGCTATTCCTCCAACGGACAAGATGAATTACCTATCCCAGCCACAAACAGCACCAAGCCACCTTCGCCCCTCCGCCAAGGTCCACTATACTGTACACTCCCCAAGTGAAAAGTGACTCTGAAATAGTCTAACCATTCCCCCTTCCGAGAACGAATCTGATATATCGCTCTCCCACAAGCCTGGGGTGGACTGTGGTGAAGAGAATTCTAGCGTTAGCCCCGGGCCCTCCCTCACGAGTACAGTGCTTGTATTGAGGCGAGATGCGCAAAGGAGAGGGTTCTCCCGGAAAGCTAGGAGTTTGCAGCGGGTCTGGAACAAATGAACTACATCGGACTGTATTAAGTCGATATGAGTGAAGGAGAGAGAATCGCCAGACCCACCAGGGAGCATCTCCGGCGGGTGATACGGCCATCACTACTGCGGGGCCCTTGCTCTTTGGGTATGGTAAGTCCTTTCTGTCATAGGTCTTCCCAGCCTTCGCTGGAGGGATGTGGGGAAGCTACGTACTGGATCCTTAGCGCCACTCATTACTCATGGCCACGTAATGGCCTCCCCACGGACCCGACGTTCCGAGTTTTAATGCCGGGCTGCCGCCTGGGTCTCTTCCCGCGTGATATTTTGTGACTAGTGGGTCTTATTTGATTGTTCAGTCACTAACTTGTTCCTCTCGGTACTGACCAAGGTATTATGAGCAGTGAGCACCAGTTTTCATTACTCCAGTCCTCTCGAACCTGACATCGGGTCGCCAGGGCGCTTTAGTCGGAAAATCGGAGATCGGCATCACGGAATATCACGCGGTGCCTGATAGGGTATGAACTGTATGATTACGGTAAGTTGCCATTAGATACGATACGGTAAGTACCGTACTGGTACGGTAACATACCGTAAACATACCAGGTGCTATTAGCCGATCGTCATGAAAAGGCTCAGAGCTTAAGCCTGATTCCATTGCCAAGAATGCCTACGTGAAACTCATAGGATGGAGAATCAGAGTACCCGATATCAGGATTTCAAATGCCACAAATGCCGCCTCCTGGTATTCTACCTTCCTAGTGTAATTTACCGTAATTTCCCGTATGGTATCAATCGGTAACGTACGGTAACGTACCGTATTTTTTCGAACACTAGTGCCTGAAAACGAGACCTGTTCCTATCATGCGCACTAATGCTTTGCCCATCCGATTCCTCTGGCCGAGCCATTTCTGTCTACTTGTCTTTGACGAGGTGGCACAGAAGCTACTGAGATACAGGCTACTGGAGAACAGTTCAGGTGTGAAATACCATACGAACGGAAAGGATCAATATCACTCGAGCATCTAGGGAATAGCGAAAGAAGTGCACGTGAATGTCTGCTTCATCGGTGCCACACCTCCTCCTCTATCTGCTCTATATACGGTGAGCGTCTGGAACGAGGAAAATGTATCCTGCTTGGGGCAGCCGTGATGATCCTCGGCATGACCATTCAGGTTACGATTTCTAACGAGAAGCGGGGGACCAGTCGGTTTGTTGTTGGGGAAGTAGTTAAAGCAGACATGCCTATTTACCACCCTGATGACAGTAGCACCCTCGATGAGAGACTAATGTCCTGTGAGGCGGTTTAGTAGAGCTTGGGCAACGGTGCTAGCACGGGTGCTATTCCCACATGGCAAGCCGAGCATATCAAGAGCCAAAATCCGTATCTTTCAATATTTACCGAAGCAGCAACAATTGTAGCCGGAACTTTAACTTATTGGTCGGATTTTGTATGTCAGACCTCCACCCATCATGATATATCACCCGACCAACAGAATATAAGGCTGAAGTAGAAAAGAGAGTTTAGGTGGAGTAAAGAGGAGAATTCAGTTAGGCACTTTTGCGGGGGAGGATATGATCGTTCGAGTGAGCAAGAGTTGTGAAGTGTTTTCTTGACTTGATTAACTCCCTTCCTATCACCAAAGTAGATGACCACTATATACTATAGAAAATCCAACCGATCAGATATCCACCGAGTGGCTCCATTCCTTCCAATCCATACCATTCCTCGTCCTTATTCCAATCTAACCCACAACCAGATATCTATCTGGTGGCTACATTCTTTCCAATCCATACCATTCCTCGCATCTCCTCACATTCGTCTAGACTGCTTCTTGCATGTGGTTATCAGGAAGTCCCTAACAACCCCAGCGATATCACAACAAAGGCCACGGACATGCCGAGAAACAGTTCTCAATAGCAATCCCCTCTCGCTTCCCGGATTCTCCCCGAGACAATTCTAATCGGCGCCTCCGCGCTTCCTGAGTCTGCGAGCCTCGACGCTATATTCTGTTTGTGCCAATCCCGGGATAGGATAAGATATGTCTCTAGACGGCTGTTCAACAAGGGGATGCGACGAAGGAGCGCCCGTGTGATTGGTACACCGAGCGGAATAGATACTCCCGACCCAGATGCGCCCTCCAGGAAGCTCGTTGTCTTAGGAGCGAGCATCTTGTGCTGGCGTCCAGGAGAATTTTACGTTTAAGATGTGTTCACCGGTGGCAGGGGGAACATGTGAAGAGGACCCCGACTGGTGCTTCGAGTCAGATGCCCCATCAGCTTGGCGGATGTAATACCGTCATCTAATATGGCCCTGGTGGGTATCCAAGGAAAATTGTCGGGCATGATTTGCCGACCTGATTCTCCATTGCCCCGTTCGAGGATGCAATTGGCCGAACATGAGCCACACCGCGCATTCTCGGTGGTGGAAGTGATGCTGTGTATGGGCTCCCAACCCTCCTCTCCCCCGTCTCCGTCGTGCGTGCTGGACACCAGAAAGCGTGCAGGACTGCCGGATAGACCATTGCTATAAGATAATCACATTTGCCTACGAGTACCGTTCCTATGCCGAGACAGCAGGCTGATCGCGCGAAGAGCTAGACACGGGGTTGGCAAAAGCCCCCGTAGCGTTAAGACCGTGTTGGAGATGGAAAAAGGGGGGGGCGAACTGGATACCGGTATTTGGGATACTTCGAGGGGAGGGGTTGGGAAGGAAGCCCTGTGGCGCAGAGGACAAGAACCGGTACATAGGGTGCAGTACTCGCCAAGAGCCGAATACGAGTACCGGTAAATGGATTCGCGTCGCACGGGGAGGTCGGCGGTGCTGGCGAGTATGATATCGGTACTCGTATTGTACTCGAGTACACACAGGTCGGTCGGGGTTGAGGGCAGGGTAGGAATCGCGAAATACTCCCCCTCCCCCCCCTCTTCCTCTGGCCTTCTTTTTCTTTCCTTCTTGACCGGCACGGGCACACGGGTACAACGATTCGTGATGCCGATACCGACAGACCAAGTTGAGATACAGAAAATACAGAACCCGATTGAATTTAGATACAGTCCTGGATTTTGCGTGTAGGCTGAGTGAAAGCTATCCAACGGTGGGTATTCATCGCAGCCTAGCTCTGTCAATCCCTCTACGATAATAGTTGTCGTGGTTGCCCGTTGCCCGGGATGGAGGTGACATGCGTCGTTGAGTCGTGTGCGCTGCAGAGGGTTACCCACTGCGCCAGAGTGGGGGGGATTTGCGAGGTGGTGGTTGCACGGAAACCATTCTTCCCGGAGGGAACAGTGAGAGGAAAGCGGATGTTGTGGTTGCTGCCCTCACTCTCCCTACGAGTAGTCCACTGTATGATACTCACGTCATCTTACCCGTTAGTGATGGTGAGGTATGATATGACGATTTCCCCTTTCCCCCCTTCTCAGCTTCAGCCCTCCTGATCGGAAAAAGAGTTAAGCGGAGTTTCTTGTTTGTGAATCTTTTTTGCGGATTCCTTTCGGTGAATTGCTTGCGGATATTCCGCTCAGAGATCGGGATAGCTAACTCATTGCTATGCTACGCTATCATACTACCCCGCCTTCTACCAGGTCAAAATGGTAGCAGGCTGAGTACTCGAGTACGGTACGGTACTGGCACTGGTAGCTCTCCTCTCTCTGCTCCTCATCTTGCTTGAGTGCGAGGAGATCTGCCGACTCCAAGGACCAAACTTTGAAAGCCCCTCTCATAGCCAGACAGAACGCCTGACCCGACACTCGCAGCAGAAAGTTGCCATCGACACACTGATCAACGCTTACCGTAGGGCACTTTAATACGGTGTCTTACCGCCAATCATGCTTTATTCCTCCTCCCCTCGCGCAACACAGCCCTCTTCGACCTGCAAGTGCAATAACCCCACGCAAAGAGAATCGATGGAACTGCTCGAGCTCAGCCTTGCGACGAGGAAGAGAAAAAAACTTCTCCACGCTGCTCTTGGCTCGATAAAGTCGCTTCATTCCTCCACCGTATCGTCTTCCCATCCGTCACTCCACCCATCCCCGTCCCCGACGCCCATCCTACGAATACGAGCACAACACCAGCACTGCCAAATCATTAACTGAGAATAAGCGGAAGAGGAACAAGAGATGCCCCGCCGACGAGAAAAGTCTATCATCCGCTCGGGCATATCCACACTCCTGCACAGGAGCCGCTCTTCCTCGCCCTCCCCATCCTCTTCCACTGCTGCCTCTTCCAAGCGAAAGCCCATGGGCGAAACCGCCCTGGAGCGGTTCACGAAAGCCACGAACGTGCATGACTTCCTAACTAATAGGACTACACGCGCCGTCTGTGAGAAGGAAGCTCCGGCATTGAAGAAGGATGACGGGGGGGAATGTGATAGTCGTAATAGTAATAAAAGAGAGAGCTTCACCGTGCTTAGAGCTCAGGTTTACAAGAAGGGAGACTGCAACGACTTCAAGTACTCGCCCATGCTAGCTGCCAGGATTCCGGTGATAAGGGTGGACCCGCCGGATGATATTCCGTTCGAGCTTAAGGTTGGGGATTTGAGGATCGATAACGGGGTGGTTACCCCGCCGGGGAGTCCTGTTGAAGGGGGTGGTAACAGTGGCGGCAGGGGGCCGAAGTTGAGGATGACAATCCCTGGTATCCCACCGGTGCATGCCCCACCCTCACCTCCTGACTCTCCGATCCTGCTGGCGAGCCCTACCCGCCCTCCACCTCCACCGCCACCGCAGAAAGCAGCGCAAAGACACTCCCCGTTCCTGACATTATCAGACGACATCCTATTAAGAATCTACGCCCACTCCCCAACCCTATCCGCCGCTACCACCCTCTCCGAAACCAACAAACGTCTGCACACGCTATACACCTCCACAGCCCTCTCCATCCTCCAGAAAGTCCTGTCGAGAACCTCCCCGGCCACCCATTGCTTCCTGAACATGCTCCAAACATCGTACACACCAAGGACATACGCGGAGCACTACTCGGTAGCAACCGACACTGTCCGCACATTCTCATCCCTGATCTCCGTCCGCTGCGAGTACTTTTGCCCGGGTAACACCTTCGCTACCGAAGAAGCGCTCTTCAATGTGTGGTCCTACTGCACGCTCTTCTCCCCGACCTTGTCCCCGCACAGTGCGCAGGAGGAGTGGCTGCAGAGGGGCGGCTTCTCGAAGGAGCAAGTGCTGGACATGTTGAAAGTCTGGAACTGCATCTCTGTCCTGCTACAGCCGTTCCTGAAAGAGGAGAGATTGGCCAGGATGTACGGTGTCGTGACCACACCCACGGATGCGGAGGGCGCGGAAGCGAGGGTGCTGAAGGAATTGGAAGGTTTCGTGGAGGGGTTGCTGGTTAGGGGGTTGGATACTCTCCTGCCTATCGTGCGATGGAGCGAGGAGGAGCATAATCAGCGGTATGCGATCGTTGTGGCCAAGGGGTTGCACAAGGTCAGGAATGATGGGGCGGAGAGAGGGAGGTTCTTGAAGGAGGTGGCTGGGGAGGTGTACAAGCAGATGTGTATTTCGGAGGGGCAGGGCAAGAGCAGTGGGGGGATGGTGGGATGGGGGCCCACCTTTGAGGAGTAGATCAGATAGATGGTGTGCCAACGACTGTGGCGGGACCGTGGAGTGGGAGGGGCTTCTTTGCATATTTCCATCCCTTTTCCCTTTTTCCCTTGCAAATTCTGGGCCGGAGTATCTAGTTTGTTCCTGGAGTTGGTGTTTTTGTGGAGTTTTTTATTCGTTGTTTTTTTTTTCCTCCCTTTTTTATATCACCTTCGGCGTACATACATATATGGCATTCACATTTACGTGCCCATGCCATTTTTGGGCAGTATCTATACCACCTCTCTGCCAATCAGGTATGATATCAGTGGAGCTCATCCTTGAACAAGCTATCATAATTTACCCATATCAACGCAACGACGTAAGAAAACCACGGTATCTATCGAGAAGGAGAGAGAAAAGACCAATTGTATACAATTCAACGTATTGTAAAGCCCCCGAATAAATAAACAAGTATAATAAATAAAAGGATATGGTAATATCCCCCCCACCCAATCCCATCTATCCCATCCAGTCCAGCACATGATAGATATGCACAAATCATGAAATAACCCCAACGCCCCGTCTAAAAACCCTCGTCGCATCCCGTTTCGCCCTCATCTAACTAACATAAGCCCGCAACCCCCGTCAAGCTGCCTACTCAAATGGCGTACTTAACCAAAGGCGGCACCTTAATAGGGATATACTCGAACTTTGGCAGCTCTGCCGCGCTATCGCTCTTCCACGCTTCTCCCCCGCTACCTAAAGGTGGCGGAGATGGCGGCGGGGTGAACACATCTCCGTCCTCGGCACTTCTCCGTTTTCGATTTCCAGATTCCTCCCGCGGCTTGACAGAAGGCTGTGTGTCGAAACCGAGACTCCGCCGACTATCCCTAAACCAGCCCTCAGATATTCGTGGGGTTCCGCTTGAGCGGGGGGTGGGTAATCCCGTCGATGCGCCGGAGGAGGGAGCCGCTGGGAGTGGAGTTCGGGGTGTAGATGGTGTTGTGGCCGTTTGTTTACGTCGCCTATTCCACCGCGCACAAATTAATACACCGCCGAGGGGCGTAAAGAAAAGGAGAGAGGGGGAACTTACGAAAGAGCAACAACGCCCGCAGCCGCCCCCTCCCACTCCTTCTTCAGCACTTTAATCTCCTCCGTGGTCCCTAGTGGTGCCCGACCACCCCATGTGGCCCTCCTCTCCCCCTCCTCAATTTCCAAAACCCGATTCTGTAATCGGGCCGCGAGTCTCAAGTCATGCTGGAGATCATCCACCTCCTCCCGCACCCGCAACGCCTCACTGCCGTACTCCTCCCACCAGGAACTATTCTTCCTCACCGCCTCGCGAGTACTCCTACCACGCGAGGGCGCAGAAGCGGCCGGAAATGTGCGTCGGTGCGGAGGCGGCGGTAGAAGTGAGGGGACTTCGATTATTTGGCTGGGGTCCGGCGCCGGCGTTGGGAATGGCTCGAGGGAGTGCGCGAGGAGGAGGAGGAGGGTTGAGTGATAAGTTTTGCCGGTCGTGTGGATGGGAGGTGTTGGCGGGGTGGGTTTGGAGGCCCAGATTGACATTTTGGTGGGTTTTGTTCGACCCTTTAGCAGTTTAATGGAGGTGTTAGTGGCGGTGGTGGTGGTGATAAATTGGCAGTGTCGACAGAGGCGGCGGTAGTGGTGTCAGTGCGTGAATTATCGTGAGTGAAATTCCTCCCCCTTCCGTCGGCGGCACTCGGCTTGTCCGCTTGCTTGCTGGGTCGCAAACGGCGAAGATAGCGATAATGCTGGCAGTGCGGTAGTACGGTAGTAGTAGCACTCTCCTCCTCCTCCGATACTGTAGATATTGTAAATGGCGATCCAGTTATTGAAGTTGAGATCCAGCCTAGTGTTCCTTCCTTCTTTATGTCTTCCCCTACTGTGCCTGAAAAGTACCGTACCGCACAGTGCGCCACCGTCGCCTTCCTTCCCCCCCTCTTTATCTCCCACCGACCCCTAGCGTGCGCACCGTAAGTGATTGTAAGGAGAAAAAAGAAAAAAAAAAAAGACCAAGACCAAGCCTCTTGATAAAAAAGCTCCCTTCCACCCCTCAAGACGAAATAATACTTTTAACCGCCCTCCCGTTCTTGTCCCCTTTCCTCTCTTTGTTAGCTTTTATCCCGCCCGATCACATGAGCCGGATGTAGGTAGTGCGGCTGTCAAAAGCGAAGTGAAAAAATGATGCAAGAAGGCGAAGTCTTGCTTCACACTCATTTTCTAGCCCAGCCTTCACTGGCCACCCACCATGGGGCTGGAAGGAGGGGGAATTTATTATTCTTTTCTTTTCAATAGAATGGTTCCGCGCGTGCGGGTATTTGAAACGACGGGGTCTATTCATTCGCAGGGCGCGGTTTCATGATTGGAGGGATGGGGGCAGCTGGCAGTACCCGGGACTCGAGGATTGTACGAGTAAAGATGGAATGGGAAGGAGGGCGGGGAGGGGTAGTTTACTGAACTCGTACGGTATTGTGTTATCTATATGCGTATATTTGGTACTGGTAGCCATGGTGACGATGATGAGGATGACGGGAGTACTCGAGTACAGTAAACGCCGCGTTGAATTCAAGAGTTTTTTTTGTCCGGCTCCGGGTTAGCGCGGTGAGGCAAATCTATGGTGTCAGCTGCGGCAACAGTTGAGCTGAGTTGAGATAAATAGAGTAGCAGCCCTCAACTTGTAAGAAGTAAATTGATTCTGACATTTCATAGCCTACGTACCAGCGCTGTGCAGCACATACGTTCAGTACGACTTTCTCCCGCGGAACATTGAACCACGACCACCCCGCAATGACCATGCTCCTCTCGGTCCCCAACGTAACAGCCGCTCAGATAGTGGGCGGGACAAGAGTACCCCTAACAGCCAACACACTCAGAATTTCCCTCCCCTCCCCTCCCCAGCGGCAGCCAGCACACCCCCCACCGCCGCAGAAGCCAAACTCCTCCTCTCGATTCCCCCACTGACAATCCCCTTAACCCCCACATCTCTCGCAGGCTCCAAGCCTCCGTCAACATACCTAGTAACGATCCCGCTCCCAGCATCTGGCAGCAGCAAGCCGCAGCAGACTGGCTTCATAGAACTCGCCATCCCACTAGCCTCTCCGCACTTGCTCCGTTTCGAGGAAATGCCATGCGCTCCGCAGCGGTGACCGGGGCAGACAGGAACTTCCGGAGCGATGGAGAAGAGGGGTAGATAGGGTTGAGCCCGATGGGGTTACGAAGAGGACAGTCAGCAATGGCGGAGAGGCTACAGGTTAAAGCCACGGGAGTAGCAGGGAGGGTGGCGGGGCAGTCAGCGGCACAGTATCCAAGGCCGGGGAGTGGACTGGCGAGAAGGCTGGTGGGGGTGATGCCCGCATTCACAGCCGGTGCTACCGAACACCCGGATGGGGGTTTTCGCGAAGAGACGGTTTCCGAGGGGATTGATGCCGTGGGCGTCGCTACGGGTGGGATCGGTGAGAGGTCAGTTGGCTCTACCTTGAACCTCCCCCTCATAGCTGCTAGCATCTTCTAAGGAACACAACCGGGCAGCGAATCACGCGTGACCTCAACCCGCGCCGCCGGCACCTCTGGAATCGTCAACCTGGAGCGCAGGGCAGGGCCGAAACAGAAGACCTCGATGCTTCGTGAAAGACGGCCGGGAACCCCGACCGAGCTGCCCTCGGTGGTCCTTGGTGCAAGCCCGGTCTGGTATCATATAGACTGCAGGCGAAGCGGGCACTGCGGCGGCGAGGAGCGGATCCAAGTGAGGTGGGTGTCTACTGTGACAACCGTTGCTGTAGACTAATACCGGTATTAGTATGTTTGCTATAATACGGGCTTCTGGGACATGCGTGCAGGGGGTCCTTTGTACAGTGCATAGTACATTGTACCGTACGGCACGGGGGCACGAAAGAGGGCCATGATGTGTCAAACATGTGATTGATGGATTGATGGATTGGGTGCGGTTTCCCAGTCTTCACCGATGCTCACTCGTTAATTAAACTATTTCGATGGTCTGAATAATTTCTACCTTGTACTCTACAGTACTTCCCGTCGAGGATCCTTGCACTTCAGTAACAACCAGTATTGCTTTGGTGTATCTGGTGTCGTATGATAGTAGTGAAAAATGGAAATAAAAAGCCACCCACCTACCTGAATTGAGTGCTCTCAAGTTGACACGCGAGAGGGGGTGCTGGAAACTTATCGAAATACAATAGGTTAACTATAAGGCATGCCCAGAAACAATTACGAGTAGCAAGGCGAAAGTTGAGTACCGGCACAATACGTACGAACAATAGGGAGGTTCACAGCTCTCAGTACGCTGCGAACCAAGTACTCTCCTTCTGAGGAGGCTTGCTGTGCACGGTAATTTCCGAAAAAATACACCTCTACCGAAGCACCTATACCTTCCGTGTACCGAGAGCTTCGAGTCTCCCTAATGTTGGTAAATTATTTCACAAGCAAGCACGACCCCAGCGAGACAGAACTGCAGAACGCACCTCCCAAGTGAGAAGTGAAAAACCCCACTACGAATGGTGAGACAAGAGATAGTCTACGGTAGTCTTGCTGCACTCTTAACACGGGTGAGCCCACCCCAGCGTTTCGCCGAGCGGTGCGGACCAGGAAAGCCGCGGTCGCGGGGGCATCAGGTTACGGCACCCGTGCTCGGCGTGCTCTACCGTACTCGTACACCGTGCTTGCCGTGGTACTGGACCGGTAGTACAAGTACTGGTACTTGTAGCACCGGGACGATACACTGACTTTTGCAGGAGCCCGGCCAAGTCGCCATCGCCGAGACGTGAAGCCCCGTGGTGGCCCCTTACCGTAGTGCTTATCGCCCAAAATAGGATGCCGTGCGCCGCCGTGCCGTTACTCCTGGCTCCTTGGAGAAAGCCCCACGCCGAATCGGAGCAGCTGGACGATGCTGCGCATAGCCCTGAGCTAACCGAGCTTCTTGGGCTTCATGCTACTCGTATGATACATCACTCGGCGCGCTGTGCCACGGCTGAAGGATGGTTCAAACATTGTGGGCCGAATCGGGAAAGACGACCCCTAGACTTGTTGTCATATCCCTTAGTCTACTCCTACAGTACGGTATCAGGGTGCCCAAGAGAACGGTGGGGTACGGTAGGTCTCGGTTTAAAACTCTAGCAATTTATTTCCGGTCAAGAAAGGATACTCTCGGGATCCCGTTACATTCCTAACCCGATATCTTATGCGCAGCAAGGGACTGACTAAGCGACAATGGCATGCATTCCTATTGTATTTATCATTAAAATGTTCCTGACTAATCGTGATATATATCCAAATTCCTTAGTATAGCCAATAAAGGAGATAGTGTGCTGTAGTAGCAGTAGTGCCAATCTGTGAGTTGTTGTCCCGGTCCTTGTACAATTTAATTTACATCCCCCCCTTGAAGATTCCAGTCCAATATGTAAAGTGTAAAGGATACAGATGAAATATATACTGCAGGCCTGCTGCGAGAGTGGAGAGAGAGAGAGAGAGAGAGAGGGAGCACGCGTGTGTGTAGTTTCGGAGGTTGGTTGACCCTAGCACCCGGCAAGGTATCGTAACAAGAGACCTAATCCTGTTAGCAGAGTAAGGTGAAGGATATTCTTGATGTCAGCACGTACTGGGTTCGGATTTTTTCGCTCCGGGTGCGGAATGAGACCGCGTTGGCGGCGGAGGTGGAGGAGGGGGCTCTGAGGGTGCCCGTATTGGCAGTGATCTGACTGATGCTGATTGCGATGGGCTTTGAGAAGTCGGCTGCGATTTCGGTGGTTTCGGGAGGGGTCTGGCCTTGACGAGCACGTTTCTCGGGGCCCGGGGAGGCTTTGGAGGATTGAATGAGATGACCGGCCTGATATTCTCGACTGCGATCACCTTCTCGACCGGTCTGGTCCTTTCTTTTGTTCTCCCCTTCGATTTTTCCTTCCGCGCCGATTTTGCCTTTCCCCCGGGCCTTGACTTCTCGACCGGTTTGGCCGCCGAATGATCCTTGTGTCTCTCATTCGACTTTGTCCTCGTGGGCTTCAATCCCGGACTGGGCGGGCCGGAGCTCTTGAGGAAGAGCTCAACGTGTTTCACCATGCTCAGAAACAGTGGGCTTTGCATGGATTCTGGCTTGCATATCTGATGGTGATCGCAATTTACGACGTCTATCACAACTTCTTTTCGGCAGTTTGTCACCGCATATTTGGGCTCTACGATCTATATACCGGCTAGGTATTAACACGAGGTCATATACGGGCATTCAAATGAGTATATCTTACCATCCCGATGCCACCCACTCGTGCGGTCTCGCGAAAGCATAAAACTTGCTTCTTACCCCAAACGCTGTTGAACTGTTCCGCCAGTGTGGCAAGCATCGACGACCGATCTCGTAACACGTGGAGGAACTCGGATCGCGGAAGGAACGCCTGGCTTAATGCCGTAGCCATGAAGAGCCTCTGCGCCCAATATGACCCGCGATGAGGTGTGCCCATGAAAATTACTGCGGGAGAAGTGGAGAACAGGTACGACCAGGACTGTCCCGGACTTGACGCAATAACCATGGCCTTTGTATCCAGAACCCGTTTGAGCTAGGGTGCTGTGGAAGTGGTGGGAACATGGACTGACCTTCTTCACCACAATTCCTCCAAGACTGTGCGCAAGAAATATCACAGGCCGCACCGGTCTGTCGCGATTGCTGCTTTTCCCTTTCTGATCCCCATTAAGTTAGCCCCAGTGTTTATGACTGAGCTGCGAACCCACCTTTCGCCCAACATTATCGGCGACCAGCGCTCTCAAGAGTTTGGTCGCGTGAAGCGACAGATCGTCCTCGGAACCCAGAATGGCTTTCGCGTTATAACCGTAGGTCCATACCCGAACTTTAGGGATCGCTTGATTAAGCCAGGGAGGCCAGAATTCGGAGTGCTTGTTTGTGAACGTGCGGGAGCGGTGGCCGCCGAGCCCGTGAATGAATACTAGATCTGCGGAATGATCTCCCTCGGGATCAGAGACAAGAGCAAGTCCTAGATCCGCAGACATTCTCTCGGCGATGGCTAGAGTTGAACGATCATAAAGTATGGGGAGGGCGGCAAACGGGAGGAAACTCAATTCCAGACGCAGTGGGGCTGGGCCCCTCGAACTTATTGCCTTCTCGGCTAGCAGTCAAACCTGGTCTACACCTTTTCCCTATTTTGAGAGGGAGCCCCTTCCCCTGGCACCTACAGATGGACTGGATTGAACGGAGTGCTTTGCAGGAGTCCGGGTGGTCGAATTCTCGCAGCCAACGGTTGCTGTCGCTTGGGGAGTAGAGCGGTGGGGCGAAGCCCTGCTAGCAGCCTAACGACTTGCAGGGCGACAAACTATTTCTCTGAAGGCCAACCGCTGCGTTCCTCGTAACCTGGTTGACCAGGGTTCGATGCTCTTGGAGGAATGGTTGGGTGCGGGCAGCTGTTGGACAACTCTGAGGGCCCAATGGACTTTCGGGCGCTATCTGCCCTGGCGTTGATATCACACTCTTGTGATTGGCTGGAAAACTTTGGGGCACAACCAATCGAGCTCCCGAGAATTGAGCTTATTTTATCGCACAGGTACCAATGTCCTGTGGTTGGGCGAGGTCTCTACTCGTAGCCAGGCGAGCATCGTTGTCAGGAAACTCCTCAGGGGGAACTGTGCAGATACTGTACTGTACTCGAGTACTCGTCATTACTACTGATAAGGGAGTTGGCCGAGGAGAGCTCCCCGCTAGAGTGCCGGTATAATTTGAGAATTCATAGGCCAACCCTAGGGTTTTCGTTTCGCTCCCTAATGATTGAGAGGAGGGTGTTTGGCTCGCTGTGATTTGGGTCCAGATCATGCTTTCAGCCGTTCCTGGTGTTTGGCTTGACACTGTTTAAAAGTCGGGATTTGGGGAAAGTTAACAAATCGCGATTTGGAAATCATGATCCCGAATCACGGTTACCTTGAACCACGGGGGGCCAAACACCTCCTGACGTATCGGGGTCGGTTTCCGGAAAGTAGCGGAAAGCCGCACAGAGAAGTTGATCCTGGAAATCAATTTCATTTTTTTGGGGGGTTTTTTTGAGTCAATAGTGCGGAAAACTGTCCCTCGAATATATCTGATTTTCGTTTGTAAGTGGATTTTGGTCGGACTTGGCGCTGGTTTGGGTTGGCAACCATAGGAAGGTACCGTAGCCGGTTTGGCCCGGGAGTCGATCTTGGTCCACCACTGGCTCCACCATGCCAGCAGCACTGTATCCCAAGTTACCATATCATGCATATTAACGGGTACTGGGCTCTCGGGCGAAACATCACCGGTAGCCTGTTCGATTCCTCTCGACTGCCGTACCGTACAAGTGCAGCTCTCGTCGCTCTGGTGAGCTAGGTATTGGGGGGAAGTCCCCAGAACTGTTTTGTCGGTGTCCCCAAGACGTTTCAAGTCGCAATCTATCATGGCCAACAGTTGTAGGGGTCTGTCTAGCTTGACTACGGCAATTTGGAATATGGGACCCCTCATTTCAACAGCCAAAGAGACCTGACCTCTGAAATTTGAGATATCTTAGAACTGACGAAGTGACGGGTTAAAAATTAAGGCGTGCCGTAGGGAAACACCACGACAGCTACAGGGAATAGGAAAACTGGTATTTCTCTCCCGCCAAGCGCCATGGTCCTTGAGCGTCTAGAGATGGAGCTCAGCGGAGCCAACGCAGAGATTCGGGTAGTTCCGCCAAGTAGTTCGAGCGCTGATTAAGCTTTAACCTCTGGACTGAGGAGACAGCTCATTACCAAGGTGGAGACTAGATGAAGCAATAAAACTCAACCAAGCGAACACCGTTCCTTGCATGCGGAAGCTGGGGTAGCGAGGGGAAAATTGAACCCGTCGGAGACAGTCTTTCCGCCTGCCCCTCCCTACGAAAATCAAGCACAAGCGAAGCGGATTCTTTTCTTTATTTCCGGGAGATAAGAGTCTGCCAAGCAAGCACAAGCGCTGGCAGGTTCTCTCGGTGGGTCCCACATCGTGTCCTTGACGGTGCGGGGTACCAGATGAGATGCTCGAGCGTTTGGGCCAGCTGGCTATGCAGAGCCATTCCGGCCACCCGTTCCCCCCTCGCTTGGTTTCCTGCATAGATTGCGGCATATAATGAGTTGATGTCGCAGCAAGTTTCGAAGAAGTCACCGGAAACCTTTCGAAGCCCATCTACGTGGAATATCCCCCGGGCCGGCCTCCACGCACCTTCCAAGATTCTGCAAGATGAAGTTTCAGAGCAGATGGCACACATATATATAGATATGGCTATGACTCCCCGCTCCAGAACGGTGTGCTAGGATCTTCGAATGTGTGGACGGGCCCTGGGCTCCGTTATATGCTTCCGGTATATTATCTCATGAGTAGCCCTCGAAGCGGCCGATAGAATCAAGCAGAAGAAAATGAGCGAACCCGATGGACTTAAAGCACCTGGCCACGACCGTGGATGACGTGGAGGAGCAGAGGGTTGCAGAGGCCTAGGGGCTATCGAGGGGGGGGGAGGAGTTTTTCGTACATCCGGCCACCTTACCAGGGACTCTCCTCTGAAGGTAACTCGGATAAACCAAGATTCACAGTAACAAGAGGGAGCGAAGGGGGTTTTGGCATCGGGTTCGGGGCAAGTTTTTCACCGTTCGTCGTCTAGGGTCGTAACATGAGGAACCAGGCTCCCTATCCTCGTAGCGAGTGAAGGTTTCTCCACAACAAAATATACGGGAATCTCGCTACTGGTGCTCGCTCCCATGGTGGGTTATATGGGCCCTTTGATAACCTATTCGGTGGGTGGTTTTGAGAGCTATCGCTCCATATCGCTCATCACTAAGGCTCATATCAGAATCAGGGACCTCGTCACTCCCCATTTAATACGCTTTTAAGGGCCTTCCAATGCTTTCTCTTGTACCCGGTTAGAGGGCTCCTAGAACATTTCGTGTGAATGCATGCCACACCTTGCTTCTATGGCCGACGTCCATGTATCTAAGTACAGCGGATATTGGAAGGAATGACTTGAGAACTGAGAAGAAGAAATGGAGGAGGGATTGGCCGACACTAAAGGAGATATAACGCTCTTATGTACAATACTGGTCAACCATGGTGCAGGTGTACGTAGCCTTTCGCTTTGGTTCTTATTGGGTGGAAAGGTTCTGGTGCGGGATGGGTCGACGGCCTCGTGGAATGCCCAGCGGTGAGCCTCAAGATCCCTCTAATTCCTGGGAAAATTCAGCACACGCAGCTATTTTATCCATTTCTCTATTCGTGGCTTTTAGGATCAGGGTATATGAGCCATGACGCCTCTGTAATCATGTACGAGATATGGCCTCACTTGACTACTATGACTGCAACCATTCCTATCCCGTAAGGTCAAGAAATCTATCCTGGAGGCGACAAACCCATGAACATGTTTTCCTCACCTCTCCCCCCTGCAATCCCAAGAACTATCGCGGGTTCTGTTCTCTAGCTCGAGCACTTGAAGGGTTAGGGTTGTACAAAATTCGAGGTTAGTTATGATACCGGTATCATACAAGGACTGGGATGGCCGCCAATACTGTAGTAGCATTCTGTTAGGAATTGCCGGAAGCGCGCAGTTGCGTAGCACTGCAGCCGCACCTCGTTATCCTGGGCTACCAAAATCCGAAGAATCTATCCGGGACAACGAGTGGTCCGGGACAGCGGGTCAAGATTTGGTGGAAATTTTTTTTTTGAATTCACAGGGTTTCACACGGGAGAGCGAGGTATACGTATATTGTAGTCAGATTATGGGACAGCGAGGTTTGACTGTACTCGAGTACTCGAGAACTTGACGTGTCACAATACTGACCCGAGAAGGGAGATCAACTACTCTGTCCCCTTTTTCCTGTGTCGCTTGGCACAGCCGCCTAACATGTTGTCTCTGTGAGACTCTGAGCACGGTGCACCATCAGTTTAGGGAAAATGCGACCATTATCATAGTGTGTTAAGTATTATCACTCTTGGTTCCGTGGAAACTTTGAGGCAGGGTCATATACTGTACGATGAAGTCAACTGAACACATGATGGCTAAGGCGGGGGGTCAGAGGTGTTATATTGAGTGCTGTATCCTTTGTTGGGATCGGAGAAGATTAACTGCTGCAAGGGGAATTGAACTTAGGGTCGGCTCGGTGTTCTAAAGGGTCGAGTGGTTGAGCACCCAATACCAAGGTCTGCGACTCGGGTGCATGCTTTTGGTAAAAATGTCTAACCTGGATTCATGATCACGATCAGGGCCTGCCAGTGTCTATCTCAGCGAAAGCCTTATAGAACCCTGTCCCCATATACGATGACACAACCCCAACTCGATAGAGGGGGCATCAATTGCACTACCGGTATTATCTTCGGGGTCCCACCACCAATTCCTCGGAGGTGGGGAGGACAAGAATACGACTGTAACTCCCCTTCCTCCCGCCAGTTTGGCCTGGAATACGGGTTTGATGCTTGCACTCCATTTTTGGGGGAGGTCTGTCTGTGTAAAATGCTATCTAGAGCAGATGCAATAGCGGAATAGGTGTTATGTCCTTGCCTCCAGCCCTTTAGGGTTATCCGAGTCAACCATTTCTGCATGCAGAGTCGAACAAGAATTCTTGAGGCAGGAATCCCAAAATACCTCATATGGTTGGAGCTTGCGGGACTCCTTTCGTGTTGTGAAAGGTATGGGAAAGGACTGCACCCTCCATCAATCACTGCCCCTCCCCCCCCTTCCCCCCTGATATCTTTATGTCTGCATAGGAAGCGGTTAGGGACATCGGTATCTACAGCCATGACCTAACCCACTACCTCTTAAACTAAAAACGGGCCAACTAGTTAATCGGTATTTTCACCATAATATGTTATATATGTATTCATCTGAAACACACATTCCTCGTGGACCACCGGGCCGAAAACCTAAGTCAGGGTTCAGATCAGAAAGCGCGGGCTAATATGTTCACTCTGGTCTACAGGACTCGTCTGCAAGATGCCGTCCCTACCCTTGGGTGATATCTCCGAAAATCACTGCCCAATGCACCGGATTTATTGCTCGTCACGTGATAATTCCTCTCCCCGGAAAAGCCGAGTGAGCAGGAACCCAGATACCGGTAGTACTACCAAGAGACGTGCAGGTTGTGGAACAAGACTCTTTGTGCTCAGGAAGTGAGAAGCTTCGTATCGTGTTTGGAGACTGATGGAACATATCATTCCTCGAGTTGGGTCCCACCGGGTGAAACCCTGGGACCTTTTGCGGAAGATTCCTCGAAAATATTTATACGGGGTATACCAGAGGTGTAATCAAGCTGACAGCCAGGCTTTCAATGTGTTCCCAATCTATGAAGGCGATTGCGGGGATTGAAGGTTCGGACTTTCAACTTCTGTGGGGTGTCTGGGAAATGTTCACACCTTTGCTCAGAGTAACTACTCCTAAAAACCCTTGTTTTGTCTAGGAGATAACGGAGGCGGAAAAGAAGCTTCTACCCCTACGGCAAGAGCACACTTTCTCACGCAGCGTGGTCCCACTTCTATTCGATCTAGCCCCACCCACTTGGTCTCCCTTCTATATAAGCCCCAAGGCTCAGCAAATTCTAGTCTGGTCAAAACTGAAGAGCCATTTACCTTTCGTATACCACAAGATGGCCATTCCGGTATTTTGGACTACGGCACCGGGGCTCGCCCTGGGGCTCTGCCTAGCAAGTTTCATAGCGACTATAGTCTACTTTGTCAAAGGAACCTCAAGAGGCAAGAACTTTCCTCCGGGACCACCTACACTGCCAATTCTCGGAAATATGCACCTTGTGCCACAAGAGAGGCCATATTTAAAGTTTACGGAATGGGCAAAGCAATATGGTGGCATCTATTCAATCAAGATTGCCAAGCAGACCATTGTCCTCATCAGCGATGTCAAGATTCTCAAGGAGTGAGTGCATATTTCTCCCAATACTTTTATCTGGGGCCCCTTCTAATTTGTCTCTTAGATTGTATGATAAACGTGGCGCAATCTATTCGTCTCGGCCTTTACCTCACATTGGCGCTGAGGTTGTCTGCCCGGACCAGACTCATATTATTTTCATGCCATACGGCGAGACCTCCCGTAGCTACCGTGCACAGTACCATCAGTTCATGGGCCCCGGAAAGGTGGAACAGATCCTGCCTTGGCAAAGCGCTGAAGCAACACTCCTGTTAAAGAAGATTGCTACGAGTCCGGATAGATACTACGAGCACACTATGCGTATGGCCACGGCTATCATCTTGGAGTCAGTATTTGGTGTCTTGCCAAAGGATTACGACGATCCGGAGGTCACTGAACTTTGGACGGTGCAAAGAGAGTTCTCGGAGGTTTTGGCCTTGACGGGTCCACCTGTCGACCACTTTCCCTTCTTGAAATGGCTCCCTGACATCGTATCACCTTGGAGAATCCATGCCCGAAACATTCGTGCCATGCACAGAAAACTCTACTTTAGACTCCTCAACCTCAACAAAGCGAGGATGGAGAAGGGAGAGCGATATGGAACATTTGTGGAAAAACTGATCGATGATAGACCCAAACACGGTCTCAGCGACGAACGAATGGCCTATGTTTGTGCGACTTTGGTGGGTGATCCTAGTTAGTATAAACTTTTGAATTTGAATTAACGCCTCTGTAGATGGAAGCAGGAAGCGACACTACTGCGTCTCAAGCCCTTGACTTCATGATGGCGTTACTAGCATTCCCGAATGTCCTTAAGAAGGCTCAGGAGGAGGTCGACCGAATATGTGGAACATCGAGATTGCCTACTCTTGACGACCGTGACCAAATGCCGTACATTGAAGCTTGTATCAACGAGGTATGTAAAGCTATCCGTCGCTTGTGATATCAGTCTAATCATCTTCCAGGTTCTTCGATGGAGACCTCCACTACCATATGGTGCCCCCCACCTGCTCATGAAAGGTAACTTGTCTCGGCCAAGCATTTGTCATAGGCAAGAAGAAAAAGCATCTAATATCCGGGAACAGATGATTGGTACGAAGGCTACTTCATGCCCAAAGGAACGGTCCTATTCCAGGTCCAATGGTAGGTTATTCTGCCCGCCCGCCTGTTGATATGTTAACGCAAGATAGGGCAATGAATATGGATGAAAGCGTCTACGAAAGGCCTCAAGACTTCGTGCCAGAACGCTACATCCGGAACCGTTTTGGGACAAAGTTCGACGCCGAGAAGGACGCCGAAACTGGTCGCAAGGAGCAGTACGGTTTCGGTCTCGGCCGAAAGATTTGCCCGGGTCAATGGTTTGCCAGGAACACACTCGTGAGTTACCCACCCCTACCTCGGGGTATTGGTTTTGGTGCTGATGCAACACAGTTCGTCCTCTTTGCCAAACTCGTCTGGGCATTCGACATGAAGATCCCTACGGACCCCAAGACAGGAAAGCCGGTCCCTCTAGACACGGACGTGCGCACAGCGTTCATGGACGGGCTAACCACCACACCCTTCAAATTCCCCATCGATTTCAAGATCCGGTCGAAGGCCCACGAGGAGGCCATGAATGCCGACCTCGTTGAGTCGGACAAAGTCTTTGCCAAATATGGTGGGGCTACAGTTTAAGTTAGCTGGTTCCTTTTCTTTTCATTTGTATCAAGCGTTGGGTGGTCAAGCTGTATGGATATCAAGAATGTTTCTTTCTTTCTTTCTTCCCCCCCCCCCTCCTCCTGATGGTATTAAAAAGTCCGGCTGGGCTGGCGGGATCCGTGGTATTATTAGCATGTCTGAAAAATCTACGGCATCAAAAATAAGTGAATTGTGATGTTCGTGCACTTACGAGTAAGCTCTTGTGTACACTCACATCCGGAAACGCAGGCACTGTTGGTTACAGTAGCACCGCCTATTAGCTCCAATAAAAATCTTTTGGGTGTTCCGTGGTTCCCCTAAAATAACTGCAACGCACGGGCGGGGGGTTTCGCGAGTCCAATGGAAAAAGCCCTTTACATGTGCTCTACTTGCGTAGTAAGTCATGGTAGTAGCGGTGCTTAGGAGGGTGATTTAAGTCGGAACTGTTGGAGCCGGTATTCCAACAGAGTGAGTTCCTGTGATTCCTCTGGGCACTGCCGAGAGGTATAATGGCTCACGGTGGGCATGTCCTTGTTGGTTGGGTGACCATCCGGCTGGCTTGGCTTTGGATAGGCTACGGTATTACGATATTGCATCTGGTTATTGGAGGAGAGGATTGAGGTGGTTTGATCCCTGATCAGCATTCCCAGGGGAGTTCGGTGAGTATCTGGGTTAGGGTTTTGGAAGGGATCTACCTCTGCAAACCTGGCTCAGGCAACGCCTTGTGGAACCAAGGGCAGCGAAGGAGTTTCATTGGAAAAGCTCTTACCTATCATACTGCGCAATATAATATCTGCTTAAGCAGCCACTAGAGTACTGTATAGCTATGCTACCCGCAAAAGTCCCCCGGCAATACGCCACCCGAGACCTCGCCCCCCCTTCCAGAACTCAATAACCTCACCAGAATGGTTCCATACCATATATATGATACTAGCACTTGTTTACAAACCCCGCCACCCAATCCGTGCCGGCAGCTCCTCCGTGTGCCCCAATCACCGACCCAACAACCTAATTTAACACCTACCTTACCGACACACTACCACCCCCCGTGCTATCGGGAGGAGGAATAAGAGGGGAGAAAACCCTGGTTACTTCTATCTTCCAAACCCTATGTACACAGGTTTGTAGTGCGCGGGAGTAGGCATACCAATATAGTCTTGAGAGTTAGGTTGGCTTGTCGGGTATGTTTTGTGGATGGACGGACTACTCGAGGAGATCTTGGCCCCTGGTTTGACTGGGCTGGTCGGAGGTGAGTGATGGGGTTGAAGGGAGGTTATGGGACGGGCTGGTCCGCGCCGTATTGTGGAGTGTCAAATTATAGTACGGGTAGAAGATTGTGGGGGAACACCGGTCCCAAGATGTGACGGATGGGTGGAGCATCGCTGTGTTTCAAAACACTTCCGAGAGTGTGAACATCATGACCGGACCCACAGAGTGTGCACGAGGGGAATGACACTGTAATTCTACCGAGCCAAAATTCTCGCGCTTCTTTCACTCTTTCCAACCCAGTACAACAGGTTGTGGAGAACGCCCGAACAATCTGGAGCCTAGATCTCTCGGAAATATCCTTTGGTATCATAGTAAAATATCTCTCACTTCCTAAGCCCCGGTATACTGATTGACCCACTCCCATTGCCGCCAGCCGCGAGTGGGCTGGGCGGCCCTACCCCATCCCTTACAGAAAATAGTAATAGCCTCCCCGCCATTCATGGTTGATCGTCGTCGCCGAGTCCCAACCCGCAGCCCATATATAATTCCATCACCTAAACCCGTCCTCCCTCAGAACTCTTTATCCTGATCACTTGAGCCGAGGTGATTATTCCCCCCTTCCTTCCTTTTTCCTTTTCCTTTTCATTTTCTCTTTGTATATATATATATATGTTTTTGTATTTATTGCGGGGGTCTTCGCTTCTTCGATTTCGATTCAGCTATTTCAGTTGAAATTCAGAAATGGGCCCTTATCCGAGGGTTCACCCAGCTCGCTTTTATCGCCAAAACCTTGGTGGCGGCGGCTACGGAGAGCAAAGGTCTTGGCGAGTCGCATCACAAGAGGGCACCCGGACGTTTAGTGGAGTGTTTGGGGGAGTTGGGGTTGGGGGGTATCCTAGCGTTTGTCCACCTTTGGTCTTTCCTGGCTTTTCCCGCTGGGGCGTCGGGCTTGGGCTAATTTGTGGGGGTTGATAGTGTACCCCGAAGGACTACGGTGACGGGACTTTCAATGTTGGTGATTTTATTAGGGATCGGAAGGTTGCTACTTGTTTTTGCAAGGATGCAGGTGCATTGGAGGGTATTGTGGAGTGTATATATTGGAATGTGAGATTCCAAGGCGATTTTTCGGCTGGTGGTGGGAGTTCGAGCTAATCGGTCATTACAGTGCAGGCCAAAGGAGATGTAGGAATTAGGATCTCCGATTTATGGAGGGGTTAAAGCTAACGGATACAGTTTGGACACTCTGAAATGGGGGGCAAAGACTTGTGTGGCAGCCGGGGTTCCAGGGAAGGGTATCAACGGTGTTTTGGATTTTCATCATCTGTTATACCGGTATTATAGGATTGTGCTAAGATCGCATAGATATCGTGGGCAACTTGGAAGGAGCCATCCATCTGCATATATCCTGGAATACGCCAGAACGTAGCCATGTCTACAAGGTTCAGAACCCATCATTGGCAAACCACCACCCAAAGCCGTGTGCCAGGCACAGGCACAGCAAACCCATTACAGAGAAGACACCCATAGTCGCGATAACACAAACGCTCACGAGCGCAGTATGCCAAATTACAGCTACCAGCACAAAGACCATTATTGGTTCTCCTATAAGAGCTTAATGTGCCATCTTGTCTAGCAGACTGCTACAACAACCCAAGCCGTGCCGGGCGGTTCAGTGGCCAGCGATACAGAGGGGATGCGCATCCAAAGGTAGCCAACCTCGGGGAGAACAGCCCCCCGGAGAGGCAATCCGTCCAAGCTAACATTCGCCAAAACCGTGCGTGGACATTTATAAGAGGTTCGGGCAAGCTGGCGCAGGAATACGGACCTGGATTGAAGCAGACCAGGCGAAGCTCACTCGCTGCGAATGCACGCATAAGACCTGGGTGAAGGCTGTGTCGGAATGTGGGCTTAGAATGGTATGCCATACATTTCTCCCGGCCGGTTAGCGAGGACGGGAATGCTAAAGGTGGGTAGTGCGCGTCCGAACGAGCTGCTATCCAACAAGCTGTAGTCTTCGGATACCAGTTTTGCTTGAAGAAGGGATTGATTGAATTCCCTTATCCCGGTGGTTTGCACACTTCCTCACTTCTCTGTTTCCTACGGTTGCTAACCGGGGGATGGATCATAGGACTAGTATCACCCCTAGGGATCAAGGTTCCCGCAAACGTCACGCTCCCGGATCGCATTACCACCGCAGCCAATAGCGTTGGAGGAGCACCCAACTTCCCAATGCTGGATGATGATGGTGACGGAATGATGTTTGGACCCGTCTCTTGGAAAATACTTCCCGAGGGTTCCATAATTGTACTTGCGTTCCTCCTCACAGCCTGTTCCACGGCTGTGTAGTGTGAATACTCGTAGACGTTTCTGACCGCCACCGCCTCATCCCGGTGTCTCTCCAGCGGGATACTGCTTTGCAAAAGGGATCTTTTTCATTTTCACTATCATTTCTCACGGCGTACGTGGTCAATGTATATATGCGCAATTTCCGCACTGGTCCTTCCCCTATAAATTTTCTTCACCCTTGCTGTCCTCTCCCACCTTCCCCTTCTCTCTCTCTTTTGTAACATGAGATTGATTGGTGAAGGGTGAGGGCGGTGAGCTGGAATTTCCCTTATCCCCAAACCGATCACCCATCCCGTCGCCCGACCCGTAGATATGATAGAACCCCCCATCCCTCCCCATCAGGTCTACTGATCGAACATGCACGTACAATACAATACAATCCTGTCATATACCCACCTGATCCCGGTCACCGCGACGCCGTAACATAACCGGACCAGTTGGTGAGAGTTCACCGAGAGACCGACTTAAGTTGCCGGGCGTTTGCAGGGCTTGGGTACGGTAGCGTGTCGGTGCCCAAGTAGATGGGCGGAGGGGGGCATGCGAGGTTATTGTACTAGGGCGCTACGTAGTAAGGTGGCCCCACCCGGATAGATGGGCAGAGATAGCGGTTGGTGAGGGGGGAAGGGAGAATCTCAGAGTGGTCCAATGGTCCAATGGTCCAATGGAGGAGTGAGAGAGTGTGACGGGTGGGTCAGGGTTTCTTCCACAACTGAGAAAGGAAAAAAGGAAAGAAAGCTGGCGGGCTCTGGTAACTTATGATAATCCCGACTATCATGGGTTGACCCGACGGCGGTGTGGGTGAGATTGGTCCTGGATGGCAAGGTACGGTGTATCCTCTGCGGTACTGTACGCACAGTACAATACAGTACTCGCAGAACCGAAGCCCCGCTCGTGGGTTTGCCTGCATAAGTGTTCCATACGGGACAGCATGATACTGTACAGTAGTAGATGGGTGAATGGGCTGATGGAGTAAGCTTTCCCTCGAATAATAGTCTGCTGTAGACTACTGTATAGTAGGCACGTGGATCGCGAGCAGAGTGAAAATAGTCCATGATGCTCCTACTAAATTACGATCTATTGTACTGTACTCGTACTGTTCTCGTAAGATACGGTGGCGAGAACCATGCACCCTAGCCCGCGTCGCGTAACGCATGCAAAGCACTCAACGCGTCCTCCCAATCCCACCCTTACGAGCACCGTATACTGTTCTCTAACAATTCGCAACGCGAACCTCGGTAGAATGATGGAAAAAAATGAAAAAAATAAAAAATAAAAAATGAATGAAGGTGAAGAGGGGAAGAATTATTTTATTTTTTATCAGCCTGAAACAATTAAGCTAGCTACAGTACTTGACAAACTTTAGAACAAGAATTGTTGTATCGTGCGTGGACATTGCTATGATATTCGTCACAAGACAAGACCAATATCGTATCGCGCATCTCTCTCGGAGGGTGGTGGGAGAGGTCACCGAGCGGTGCACCGGTGTAGCGAGTGATTTGGACTGGCAGGCGCGTCTTCCGAATTGGCGTCTCCGGGGGTATTGAGTTTTTTGGAGCTGTCGAACCCGTCGGGATTCTCAATCCCACCGACATTCCGTCCATTCTCCTCTTCCAACTCTATTATCTCCTCTCCTTCCAGCTCTATTATCACCCCTCCTTCCAGCTCTACGTCCGCTCCTCCCGGCTCCACTTTCTCCTCTCCCTCTTCCTTGCCCTTCCTCTTCTCCTTTTCGCACTTGTTATCTGGCTTTTCCTTCCGCCCTTTCTCCTCCCCCATCTCCCTCTCCCTCTCCCGCTCCCTCTTCTCCGCCCACACCTTCTCCCTCCTCACCTTCTCCCTCCTCTCAAGCTCCTCCAACTCCTGCTCCTTCTTGTCGAACTCGTCATCCTCAGAATATGTCATCCGCCACCACTTCTCCCCCTCCCAATCGCTGGGCTTTCGCGACGCAGCCTCCGCCTCGACCCCTCTGCCACTTCCCCCTTCACCATTCATCTTCCCCCCCCTCCTCTTCTTTTTAGGTGGAGCCTGCATAGACAATGGCTCATCTCCCCCCTCTGGCCCTGCCTCTTTCCTGGGCGAGGTGGGCGATCTTGCTTTTCTCGGGCGTTTTCCCGGAACACGGTAGCGACGGGCGGGGTTTTGGCTGCATAGGATGTCTTCTATGTTGTCCGATTCCGGGGTGTCTAGGGAATCGTCCGAGTCGGTGTCTACGGTCGGGGGGCTGTTAGTGGATCTTGGAATTAAATTCTCCGGTAAGAGCAGGGGGGGGGAGGAACCTATCTCGTCTTCCGGGGGGGAACGGGGAGGCGAGGATGCTTTAGCCGTTGACGAGCTGGCGGAGGAGGAGGGAGATGAAGGAGGAGACTCCATTTGATCTAAGCGTAGTCGTGGGTATATGTTTTGGGTTGGGATGGGAAAGCCGATCTCCATCTTTGGCTTTGGGTGGCGGGAGATGGTTGCGATGTTTGTCGTGTGTGTTGGGGGAAGTTTGGTGGACGGATGGATAAAACAAGGGAGGGAGAGGAAGCGGATGTGGAGGCGGAAGAGGAAAGAGGAGAGGGGCTAGAGGGAGGGGCGACTTTGGCCTGAGTTTGTCCTATGATCCGGTAGTGCACAGGTAGCGGTAGAGGGTTGTGCGGCCACCAAACCAATTTCGCAAAAAAGGGTTAGCGTGGAAGGCATGTTCTGGACACGGTAAGGGTAAGGGGTTAATTTTAACCCCATGACGTCAAAGCACCACAAACCCGGTTCCAGCAAAATCTGCATGTTGAGCCGCGTGCCTTCTCTGGTTAAAACCACTGTGACGGTCACCCCGGCACCGGAGACACTTTTCGTCCTTGCTATGGCGATAGTCTATCTCCCCTTCACCCTTGCCCGGGAAATGGGAATGGTCAAGCCGCGGCTTGAGCACCTCACCAAGAGATTCCTTTGCACATCATGCAACGGATTCTTTCCGTGGCCTCCTGAGTTGCTTGGCCGGTAGAGGGTTTGGTCTTGCTGTTGCCGTATTGTGGCGATGCCCCGACCCCCGGCGAAACGCTCCGTCGACACTCCGCCGCATGATACCGGCACCGGAAGCATTTTCAAAACGCTCGTTGAGCTCAGGCACGCATCCTAGTGCTTACAGTAACAGCCCATGCTCGGATCACCCCAAATACCGGTACCGCGTGCCCTTGCCGATCCGATCGGATCGGTCCCGGTCGTGAATGGATCTCCGCACGGTACTCTGAACGTGGTACCCCGGTTCCCCGCCATTCACTTCTCCCAACACGCTGGCGGTGCACGGCACGAGCTATGACCCATTCTCAATCCACTTCGCATTTTTCTGGATTCATGGGGCTATCTATGGTGGGAGGAGCCCGGACCTCGCCATAATTACGCCTGCTAAGGTGTAACTCACCGCACTCTGTTCTGCTGAACACGTTATCCAACCTACCCGTTCACCCCATTGCCCAGCTCCGGATTTCCTCCATGATCTCCGGGCGCACTCCAGCTCCCTCCCCGTCTGTGCTCAAACCACTAGAAGGTGCAGATCCTACTTTAAATTTCTTCGGGGTGGCCTGGGCCAGGGAGTCTTTGTTGAGCACGATATCCGTGGTGCCCAAGTTTTTGTTCGGGATGCTTAAGGTGGAAATGAGGGGAGGTCTATCCCTTGACCTGCCCCTGTTTCTGTGGTGCGAACGGGAATGCTCATTGTTCATACTTGCTGGATTTCCGGGAATCCACGTCACATGGAATTTGCACAGTGATCAACTATGATTTTGTATAAATACACCTTTAAGGCTGGGTTGCATCTGCTAGCTTGCTGCGAGTCTGAAGACTGCGGGCTGAACGACTGCTACAAACATAGCACTACGGTATATCCCATGCGGCTATTTCTGCCTATCCATCCATCCACGCTGAGACTGCTATATCATTGGTTGCTGGCCATCGTTCACCACCATTGGTCGCTACACCGTTGCGCAAACCTGGTTAATTCATACATCACAAAAAGGCCCGGAATAAACTCACAAGTCGTCACCTTCATCAGAAGTTCTGCATGTGCGGTCCAGAATCCGACCCAATACTCAGTTCGCTTATCGCCCAACGCGAACACAAGGGACAAGGGGAAGTAAAAGGGGAAGTGCTCACTCATCTAGCCAGTAGCCATCTACCCTGGGATCATCAAACCAAGAATTAAGCGCGTCATAATTGGGCTCCCAGTCGTCCCACTCACCCCATGAGGAGCTTTCGTCATCCTCATCATCCTCATCACTCTCCGAATATCCGGCTGCGGATGAGGACCCCTCACTATCCGAGGATGGGGACGAAGAGTATCCACCGCGCTTTCTCTTCATGGATTTCGGCCTCCACTCCGGCTTCTGTTCCTCGGTCTGGGTTGCGGCGTTCCGGGTATTTATCTCCGTGGGGCATGTTTTTATGGTTCGTGTTGCCTGGTCGACGGTCTCAAGGTTCCTATCCATCGGCTTTGGTCCCTCGGCGCCCGTGTCTACATCTCCCACCGGCAGCTTTGCAAAAGCCCCCTCCTCCCCGTGCTGGACCTTGGACCATGGACTGGGCTCGCATGTTTGCGGATTGTCCACGCCGGGTTTATCGCTCATGTGAGTAGGGGGTTGCTGTGCAGTAATGCCGTTGCCGGTGGCAGGAGTGGTTCTGTCCTCCTGACGCTGCTCCTCGCTGGCTTTCTGGCGTTTCCTGGCTCTCGCTCTCGCTCTCGCTCTGCGTACACGACGTTTTCTCGCTCTGGATTCATCCTGGGTATTGGGTTCGATGGGCGGTGTTTCAGGATGGGGAGCTTTCGAGTCAGCTCTGGAGGAGCCACCGGCGGTACCTTTTTCCTTTCTGGCCATGACGATGATCAGCCCCCGACCTGGTTTTTTGTGGTTGACGTGTGTTTCTGAGGCTTGAAGGTGTGGGCGTGGCATTTGCCGTACGGGTGGCGAGATGGAAGGAGAGCTGGAGCCAATTCCGCGGATTCTGGGCACAAGGGTAACGTTCTGGGGGGGAAGGGTTTAGGGATTAGGGTGGGGAAGTGAAGTGTGATCGGCGGTGTTTGGTTAGGCGAGTGAGAATGCAATTTGGACGGGGCATAACTCGGTGGTTTATTCCGGAAACGTGATTGCACCATGGCCATCCCGTAGTCTGTAGTGGAAGCATATCGACCCGTCCGTGCCCCCTGCTCTACGGTTTGTCCAATAGAATAGCTACCCCGTATGATGGGTTTATAAGAAAACCGAGGCACCCTCACCCGTACTGTACACTCCTACAGAAATGTGTCTCGACAGTCGGCACGTGCATCACCAGATTTACACATCGCTCCCCAGAAAATTGGATTAAAGATAATTGAAGTCTAGCCCATACGGGAATGACAGAATGATCGACATATTCGCAATCCCAGCTATCGTTATTTCCCCTATTGTCGGGTTACCTCTGACCCACCCCGCTGAGAGCACAATATACTGCACTCAATCTCTGTGGCACTGCTTTCCCAAACTGTTAGCAAACCGTCCGCCTCTGTCGGCGTCCGCTCCCCACCGATACTCACCTTACAAACCCGGGTCGGGAACTACCGTATCATGATCCAATTCAGTAGGAAAAACATTATAGACCCCGTGCTGTACGTTTTCACTGAAGAGTAGAGAGTACCTACTGTCCTCTAGAAGGTCTTCCACCGATATTTGAGCAAAGTCGGAAGAGTAATGCTCGTCGGAGTCGGTGTCGCCTGCTTGGGATTCAGCTATCGCCTGGGCTTCTGGAAGTTCCGTGGCCTCTCCGTCTCCACCTCCGGAGGCCGCGGCTGCCTCGGCGTCGCCCACATGGGGTTCGGCTGCCGCTTGCGCTTCTAGATGCTCCACGGACCCCCCGCCTTTAGCACCAGAGTTCGCAGCGGCCTCGATGCCGACTCCAGTGCTAACTTGGGCGTCATAGACTTTCTCAAGGGGGTTTTTGAGAGTAGCTGCAGGTCTTGCTTTCTGCGCTGCTCTTCTAGCCATGCGGTCACGAGCTTTGACCTTCATCCGCAGTTCGACAAACTTTTCTCTGTATGCGAGGCGGGCCCGATGTTTGCGCGCTCGCCGCTCGTCACGACGTCTCTGGAGAAGCCGATTGACGAGGTCTTTGATCAGAACCCCTGCAGTTTCTCATAATATTAATGACTTTTTTCTCCGTTTCTTTCATGTCACAAATTCGCTGAATAGGCGAACAACGGGGGGAAAGTGGTATCGTTTAGGTCTTGATTCATACATACTTTTGCGCGGTTCGGTTTGAGTACCAATGTCTCTAGTCTCTGGCTTTTCGGCTTTCCCCATTCTCAAGCGGATTTTCCTGGCCCTACGGGTTTCTTTATCTTTGGCTCTTGTGCTCCTGGTGCCGGGGAAGCACTTGGACCTCTTGGGAATTTTCGTAGGCATAGTCGCAAAGTGGTGACACCGCTTGTGGTTTGTTGGTGGGAGGGGGGGTGGGTGGGACAATTTTTGCTCTATATATTGAGGCGAAAAAGGCCCTTAACCCACTTACCGTAGCGAGGGCGCCGCGCATTATCATCGTATCATAGGTATCTAGGGTACGACAACGATTCTATCCCTAATTGTTCAAACCCTATGCATGATACCTATGTATTCCCGCGTTGGAAGCACTGCCGCCCAGAGCTGAAGGAGTGCCCGCCGAGTCAACCACACTTCGGATAGTGGAACGGAACAGTCTTTTTTGGCAGCTTTATCAACCTTAAGATGCTTTAAGAGCGCGGAGGGGGAGAGGGAAGCGCTTCCAGCATTGTCCTTGTGCCGTCCCTCTAGCGCTCCCTGGACAGGAATCTCTACCATCTTCCCGGGGTTACCCAGTCCTCGAGGGGCGAAGCGAAAACCCGTGTGTTGCTCTGGGCGCTCTCGAATCATAGCCAATGATCAAATTAGCCGCATTTTGACCTCACCTCGCTGAGTTGCTACTACACTGCTCAGTATCATACTTGTCATGCAGCTGACGTCAATAACTTATATGATGGAATGTTGTTATCCAGAGACACTCCTCAGGGAATTTTGTAGTACAAGTGTATCATGCGCATTGCAGGCATAAAATCCCTTTCCCTTAACCCTGGCTTCCTCACTGTATCTGCCTATTTGCAAATATCGTGCTGCGACATTAGCTCCGCAAGTCCACAGCCTCGCAGCTCCATATATTCATAATACATTGTACATCTCACAAACACTAACACTGTTATGCTAATAAGTCAATCTTGGCACCGCAAGGGGGGTTAAAGGAAAAAAGAGTTCGAGTGTAAGTTCCCAGTCATAGCTACTGCTGCTGTGATGATACTCTGGTAAGGGTTGGATCTGGGCAGGAACTCAGGTCGGCATGTGTGCCGTAAAAATTGGGACTGAGAAGGGTATGGACACTGCTCTCCATGGTGAAGAGTATCTATTCGTACAGTAAGAACGCCGTAAATTTTTTGGCAAAGGGCTAGCCTACTCCCGCTGGAGTTGGGGTGTTTTTGGCTTCCCCTTTCTAAAGTGTTACCACCTGTACTCGTAGTATCACTACCGTAATACTGCACGGATACAATACTCCTCCACAACATCGGCTTGGCCCAACTTTACTTACCCCTTCCGCATTTCTTTTCATGCTGAATTTATATCCCAAGGAGAGATTCGGAGTACCCGCACTGGCTATGGTATCCCGCCTCTATATTCCAGTGTTCGTCCCCGAGGGTTTCGTGGAACGTCGGGTGTTTTGAGGGAGCACACATTGGTTTCCCATGTTTCTTGCATTTCGGAGGGGTTATTTGCCCCAGGCGGGAAGGCTTATATCCCAGCCAGAAGAGCCTATTTGGCACCCTATCATGGTGGCCTCTATGGGCTGGGGGGCCGAGGGGACTTTTTGGGCCTCACTGGGTCGGTTCTTTCAGATATAAGATTACTAGATTGACACCATTGTCCACACACTTGAGTGCTCGAGCGCTGCACAGGAGCGCTTGCTAGTTCGTTTGGGAGTAGGTGCTGTAGCTTTGCACGGGAGATCACCCTTCCTATTCGATTTACTAAATCTCTGAAGATTTCGTATTATAGGGTGCTTGATTTATGCTTTCGAAGGAAGTGAATGGCGAACACTGGTATGATTCGACTCTCGTTGAGAGGGGACCGAAAAGTAAAAACTCTCTCACCCAGGACCCCCAAACCTTGGGCCTGCCAGTGTTTAGGGAGCTGAGTGACGACTCCATGCAACCATAAAAGGAACACCCAAAATACAGCAACGAGTGGGAACACCTCAAATACCTTCATCCACAATCCAGTTTTGAAGTTTTGGTACCCAAAATTTTGGCGTACATACCTAGTAGAGAACGGGATGGTGGCGGGAAACCGCCGCTTCCCGACTACCTACCAAAGTCGTTGAGAGCCTGAATAGCGGCCAAAACGGCCCCTTATCCAGGGAAAACGAAATAATTCCAATCTCCCACGTTAGAGAGCCGTCAACTAATTCTCCCATCTCCGCCACTGCGGCCATGGACGGTAGTCGCGTAAATAGTTACCCAGTACGAGGTGGTGAGTGACCGGGCCGCAGGATTGACACCGGAAATCTGCCCAGCACCAGTCCTTATAGAAAATCATACACAATCTAAATCGGAACGCCCCATCGGAGACAACTCTTCTTGGGCTTCGGCTTCTACCCCGTCCCACAACCAGCGTGCAGCTTGGGTATAGGTGATTACGCCAGTACAGGGAGTTAGCCTAAGGGAAGGGGTCTGGCCACCGTACTGCACCGTATTCGAAGACGAGTTCTTTCGGAATTATGCACTGCCATGCATGAATAACCCGTTGGCCGGAAGCGACAGCGCCGGGAGGATTTAACGGAGTGGAATAAAAATAAAAATAAGAGACTTCCGGTACGCCCCCACTACTCAGTTTTATTATCCAAAAAGTCGAAGCTGGGGTGAGAGATCCTATCTCATTCATATCACCGACCCACCGGGGATATTTGGGCAATACCACTACTTCGGTGGCCCGGCCCATCGAGCAGGCTTATATACTGAAGCGACCCCGTGGCCTATAGAAGCCCAACAGTCGTTAGGGTACACTGCTCTCATAGGTTCTGGATCATTTCATATCAATTCACAGGATACTGGCATCCGCTACATTGTTTTGCCCCTTCCTTCCTTCATTAGGCAGGTTCCTGGGCCCCCATGTACTGCTGTAGGTATCCTTCCTGTCTACCATTGAAATTTTCTAACAGACATACAGGTGCTTGATCGGAGATGTACATGTTCCAGCTGCAGCGCTGGACGTTGTTAACTGTCCTCTTTTCGACCCTGGTTGCAGGTCGGGTATTTCACATCTACGGTGGGGACCAAATTTCAAATTCACGCAATCATGATACCGACGCCCGTGCCCATTCCGAGAAAAGATACCTGTAATTACCCTCCTTTATGGTCCCGCGAAGGATGCTTACTCTGTTAGCCAACCTCGCTCTCCCAATCCCAGGTCACCAGCAGAAACCAGCGACACAGACCCCTTCACCAAATTGGCCAAGAGAGGATCAAGCTTAGAGGATCCGGGGGATGATACAGAAGCTATCAAAGGCTCATCCCCCCAAAAATACGGGCCTTCTACGCCAACCGAGGATGGAGATCCCGAAGGTGACATATCCGCCGGTGAAAACCGGCTAGTGAATCTAGTCGCGAGACTGGATCTGGGAAACCCCGCTAACAAAACGCTTGATGAAGGATCTTCAGCTTCTAGGAGTAAATCCAAATCAACACCAGAGTCAAGTGATTCAGCGGAGCCACCGGCGGCTGGATCTGGGTCAGCTGCAGGTGGTGAATCTCTGCAAGAGAAACCCGCATCCGGGCTAGCGGAGCCGGGCGCATCGGGAGGAAGTTCCAGTACGAGCAATGTGGACGCCGCAGCCGAGACCGGAGGAGCAGGAACCAGTTCCGATCCCCAGGAGAAAGACCAATCTCTTAGCACGGAGGGTGGGGGGGGCCTCAGCGACACTGGGAGCCCTAGCAAAGATAAAGGGCTCGGTGTGGGCAGCGAAACCCCTGCAGAGAATTCCCAGGCTGCAGGAAAGGATTCTAGTGTAGAAAAGGGCCTCACCCCGGAAAAGGGTAAAGGGACCGGCAGCGACACCCACCAGGATGGTGTAGCGGCTGAGTAAACTGGCGAGAAGCCAACTAAAGAAGAAAAACTGGAGAAAGAGAAACTATCTAAGGGAAGGAAGTGCAGCTGAGGGAAAGCGACTATCTGGGGAGCAGCCAACTAAAGAAAAGCCTGGGAAAGGTGGAAGTGTCTGGGATAAGTTGAGGACAAGAGTAAAGATCAAAATGCCGTCACCTCGAAAAAGAAGAGCAAGTGGAGTCTCTGGGGGAAGAATAACAAAGTTCCGGATACTGTCACCCCCAAAAAGAAGAGCAGTTGGAGTCTTTCAAGGAACAGGAAGAAAACTCCAAATACCGTCTCCACCACCGGAAAGAAAGGCTGGATCCTCGGTTGCTTCGGAAGGAGCAGGTCCGGCAAAAAGCAGAAAACACCAAAGGCACTAACAAAGTCACGAAGGAAGAGTAGTAGGAGGAGGAGGCAGAAGAAGACCAGGAAGCAGAAGAACCGCACATCATGGTGGAGGAAGTTGTTCGGTGGCGGGCCCAGGAAGTCCAAATCGTCCAAAGCGAGAAAAATGGACCCGAGAGGAAGCAGGTCTTCCAAATATAGAAGGGAAAGTTTTGGTGACGATGATTTGATTCTTGTATGCTGTTTTCTGTTTTTTATCTCGATTTTTTTTTCCTGCCTTCACTCTCATTTCCTCTCCACTCCGCCCGATCCGGCTCGGTTGTGTTGCCTTGGCTGGGACCATTCCGACCCTGTCTATTTTTGTAATCATGATAAAATTGTTATACCGGCTCTCTCATCCTCCGCACCGTATCCATAGGAAAAACCGTGGTTGCATCGTCTGCCTACTTACTGTCACGTATTGAACCCACCGAGCCGTTGTGATATAATACCACAGGTAAGCAGGGAGCAAACCCCGGCGCGGTGCCGCAGTGGGATCTATCTTCCGATCGCCGCCACCAACATGTATGTGCATTTCCCCCTCTCCGACGGGGTCTCGTCGAAGGTCCTATCCACACCGCTCGCACCGGCACACTCGCACACACACAGACTGGTGCATCAACCCAAGCGGGCTGGGTCCGGCCAAGCGCACCGGCATACAGCACGCATAGATACCGGTACGAGCAAGCACACCCTGCAACGGAAGGAAGGAGAGAAATCTCAGGAGTAGAGTACAAGGCGCGAGCACACCACACCAATGTCGTAAACACGCGAACTATTGGGAGGTGGGTCGATGGGTCGAAATAGGAGTTGAAAGTGGGAGAGGCGGCCACACCGCAAGGTGTTTGGCGTTGGGATTTTCCGAATTATTCCAAATTGCTTAAACAGGTAGCGTTGGGCGTGAGGAGGATAGGCGAGAAGGGAAATGTTTGTGTAGTTGGTCGATGTAAAAGTGGTTGGATATGGGTAGGGTTAGGGAAGTCTACAGCAGTGAGTGATAAGAGGTGAGCCAAACCCGGACGGGGCGTGGAGTCATATTCGCCGTGCTCTACAGGGGGAAGAGAACGTCTTTCCAACTTGACGGGTGGGTCCAAGGTGATGGTTAACGACGGCTCTAAATAAACTTTGCAAATATCAAAACTAATCTACGAACCCTCCAGCACTCGGGCGTCCCACCGGTATCGTAGGACAAATGTTTTGGGAGCCCGCCTGCACTCTAGTGGGACGACGAGAGGAAATCGCAGCGCTAGGCGCCGTACACTCGAGCATGGTGTTCGAGTACAGTACTGTACCTTTGTCTTAGCTTCACTCCAGCCTCTCGAATCATCAGCGAGGAGAGCGAGAGTACTCGAGCATCGTAGTTACCATTTATCCAAGCCCTTCTAGCCGGCACCGTAGTATATAAATTTTATCATAGCTGGCACCGACATGCAACTATTTCCGCTTCTGCCCTATACCTAAGCGAACCCAACCCCAGCGCCTTACCATCCCGCGAAGACTACGAGTAACTTAGAGTGCCCGCACAGCGAAAGAACCTCAAGGGATCAAGCATCATACCAGTAACTTAATGTAGGAACTTGAGCAATTAAACCTGGCGCTATAATAGGACGTTGGAGTTGCCGTTGCTGGTTAGATGAGGCACTTTTTTTTTCTTTTTCCTTCCTTTCACGTTGTAAATTACTGTACTCGAGTAAGCTGGGGCTGAGTGGCCAAGCTTGGCAGCTCCAACCCTTGCCTAAAGGGGGAAATATTATACTGGGCATCTTGTCCTGAGGTTCAATTATTCCGGTGCTTACGGTATCTGAGAGAGAGAGAGAGAGAGAAATTTTGGATGGCCTAGTCTAACGTGGGGCTCAGTTATTGGAGGTTGGATGGCGGCACCGCAGGCCAGCTTGCGATTGACAAGCCAAGTCATGATACGTGCCCCCACACATCCCCCACGAGAATCACATGCAAGGGTCAGAAAAGTTGCACTCGGGTGCTTGTTCTCGCATCCTCACCGAAAAAACGGTTGAGGCGCACCTGGCTGAATTTGATTTGCTTCGGTTCATCAAGTCATAATTTAATCTTGGGAAGAGGTGAACGAGAAAGTGTAATAGAACGGGGTAGGGTCTAGGCGGATACAAAAGAGGGCCATGGCAGGAGAGGTGTCATGGAATCATGTAGCCATCAAGAGGCTCAAGTAGATATTCCAACCTAAGGCGACAAACCCCCCAAATAGTAATCTTCGTTCTACAGGGATGAATACGAAGGCGATTATTGAGGCGAAGGGCCAGAGCTTGTAGGATGCCAGCGATAGAGGAAGGAATTCCTGGAAACGCCCCCGTTACTTATCCAGATCATGAAGACCATTTTGCCTTTGGTAAAGGAGTCAGAGGGGAGACTTACTGCTTTCACATACTGGACTGCACCCTCCAACGGCAATCCGCGGAATCCCGCCATCGCAGCAAGAAAAAGTGCATTGTTAACCGGCCCGCCAAGGAATTGGTCGAGAAGAAATTTTCTGAGGGTATTCGACTTGGATATGCGTGTTTGTAGCATAGCACTCCCGCTCCTCCTCTCCGTTGCCTTTCCATTGATGGGAAGGGGAACGTTGCCGGGGAATGCTGTTTCCAGCCATTCCTGCCAGATAAAGTTCGGGGGAGTGGATAGGAGAGCGTAGAGTGCGAACTGGTATGCAGGCTTGAAGTCGAAGGATAGCGTTGTCTGACCAGAGATGAGAGTATTATCCTTTTTGTTAGCCTTCGCCCTTCTTTGCTCCCTGAGCTGGTGTTAGTGTGGGGGTGGGTGGGGCACATTTAGCTTGTATGCTTGAAGGGACTGTGCGAGGAGAGTCGAAAACGCACTCAGCAGAGCGGCTTGTATCGAAGCATTGATGATGGCAGACATATTTTGGAATTCCTTCAAAGGCGAAGAGCTATTGCTAGTTCCGTGTGGGAAGAATGAACGGGTTTGAGAGCCAGGAGCATATCATACGTGCGGTTGCAGCCCCAAGAGAATTTTCCGGAATGAGGGCAGGGTTGACGAAAATGGCAGGATAAGGTTCGATGCAAGAAACGGCACGCCCTGATAAAAGAACGGCCGGGCAGGATGAGCGGATGATGGCCGGTTGGGTCAGCCCAGACTTTCAACGAGCGAAAGAGGCGTTCATCCGTCAGACGAGTTTGGCTCGTACGGTTTGATGCACTCGATTTTATTGAAACTTCAAGGACGGGAGCAATGAGCCCCAGTGCCCGTTACCTGAAAAACGCTTGCTCGAATGGCTATGATAGCAACAGGTGTTGAAACTCTTGGTTTGGGCTCTCATTGGCTGTTGGATCATGATGGTCTTAGTTTACCGGGGAAGGGCTTCCACAAAGTTACCCACCTTTGACACCGTACAGTGCCGTACAAGCATGGTGAATCGAAAACTTTCGACAAAAAGCGTGATTTCAAGGCGGGGCTAATCCACTGGGTTTAAGGCTGGCCCGTCACTCGCTAGTTAACCGTTTTGACCTTTCAACCTAGACATCCGGAATAGGCCCAGTCGGTCGGTGCCCCCTGGCGCCACACCGCCGGTCCTTCACAGGCCAGGCGTGTATCAGATACCATACTAGCGTACCCAATGCCAGTACGGTAGCAGAGGAGATACGGTACAGTATTGCGTGCTCGGGCTGCCGGGTGTGCCCTTCAGTGCGGCAACCCACTAAATAAGCGACTGCAGTGCATGGTTGCGCGGGTAAGATCCCTCTGAACCAAGTACACTGAACAGGAGAAACATGGTGGACTAGACATCCCATGGAGAAGCTAGCTAAGAATAGACCAGTGAGATATACGTAAAGTACGAGTACCTCCGAACAGCTAACAGCTGTCGAAAATAAAAGAAACGCAACGAACTCTGAGGGAAGGAACCAGGGACATCATGATCGTCTATGATCCCGAACCATCCATAACTATCCCGACCCCTATAATCGGGGTCCTACGCTCCACTCCGACCGGCATAAGGGGCACAACAAATCCAACCAACCATCATACCTCAGTCCAAATAGCGTGGGATGTGAGAGGAGCGACACCTACTACCTATGCAGGACAGAATGGGGTGCAGGCAACAAAGCCTCCCAACCGATGCTCATGGGTGCAGTAACCCAACGGCCACCATCTCTGGATGCCGGTAAGGAACACCGGCGATGTAGTAGGGAATAAGAAGCACGGTGAATACTGAGCGGGACGGGCGACTCTCAAGATGTAGGATAGTCTACTGATCGGACCCTGCTTCTTGCAAGATTCCAGCATTCGATATTCAGATGGAAATATCGGCGATAATCTGACCACTGAATTCCAAAGTTTACCCCAACAATCCAATCAGGATCCACACCAGAATTCACACTCTCCCCTCACCACCGGTAGACCGACAATCTCTCATTTAGCTCACCAGAATAACGCCCCGGGTTTAGGTACGGCGCGAGGCACCAGGTCGGCCACCCGGCGGGGCTGGTTGGTGGTCGCACGGGGGAACCGGCAATCTTTGCAGGGCAGTAGGCTTTGTTATCGGGCGAACTGGTCCTCTTTCCTGCAGGGGGAGATGGTCGGCCTCAGGAGGAAAGCGATAGCTGTCTCGGGGCAAAATATTCCCTGCGCGGTGGCGTAAAGAATTGGAGTGGTGGGGGGATACGGCCGCGCCAGAGGGAGGCTGGGGGCGTGCTACCAGTTGTGGAGGGTGCCAGGGATGATGGTTATGTCAATTTTTTTCTTTCTCGACCCGTTTCTAGCAAAAGCTTTAGGAGAGAGTGTTGAGCAGAGTGACGATCGAATGATCGATTATGACATGAACGCCACTGGAACACGCGTTATACGGGGGCGTTACGTGGGTAGGGATGGGTTGTATGTGCTCCAGTACAGTAGGAGGCGGGAAGTGATGAGTATATTGGCGGGGCGTTACTAGCTTTATTACTGGTGTTTTGTATGAGAACACATGGCTACAGAATACCCATCACTTTCAGTCACCTCCTGTACTCTGCTAAAATTCTTACGCGTACTACTCCAGTTTACTTTATTTGGGTAGGATGTAGAACATGAATTTCGCCACCTCACACTCTCCTTTCCTTCCTCCGTCCCCTACAACTCACCAACCCCACCCTTCCCGAGAGTTTGGTTGATATTCTGTGTCAGTACTCTCATCGAGTATTCGGGCCCTGGAGTTTTCCAGTGCACTCTGGGGGAACGTGCGAGACAGAGTATTGACCTTCTGTATCGAGACCGTTACTGCCATGGCAGAGATCCCCGTTTGGCAGACTTCTGCCTTTTTCCCGCCTGCTCCTCTTCCCTGCGGCTATTTCTGCGATGCCGAGGAGATTAGACATCAAGAACATCTACATCGGGTATCCCATGCGCAGTTTCTGTATTCCCATCGTACGGACTCACCCGAGGCTATGAGGGTCTACAGGGACTTTCTTAGAGAGCAGAATGCCTGGATGGCCGAACAGGAAGAGTTGAGAGAGCGGGAAGCTCAGAGAGCAATGAAGGTTTATATGGACCTTGCGTCCCGATGGGCTGAAGAGTGGAGAAGGCTTGAAAGTGGTGAGACAGTGGAGGATAGCTTGATAGTAAGTTGCTTATGTTGATAGACTCGATGCAATCATCTAATCTTGCGTAGCAGACGGCGGCGGCTCATATCCTGAACTCACTCTTTGAACCGGACCATCCTGGGAGTTGTGCGGACCCGATACCGTGGCGCGATGGCTCTACTCCCGAAAGTATTAGTCCCCTGAACCTCCCAGAATCTCTTATCGATTGGAAGAAAAGCCGGAATTCGTGCAAAGGACTACCTAGAGTTAAAGCTGAATGCACTCTCGGAGATTTCCCTGGTTTCAACCGGGTGGACGGATCCGCTACCACAAAGATACAGAATCCAGTTCTGGATCCTGCGAAGGCTACCCGAAAACCGCAACAGAACCTCGAAGGACAGGTTCGGTGCAAATCTTTGGGACCAGGAGGTGGCCGTAGTAGTGGTCTTGATAGACGCTTAGGGACGAACAAATCTGTTGTCCAGCCTATTATTTCTTCTCCACCTCCGGGTTTAGGGCCCCCGAAAAAGTGTAGGGCCGCGAGTTTTAACACTTCCAAACCCCCTTCCCCTATGACGAGCATTGTGCGACAGGATAGAGGCCTGGTGGGGGGCGAGATTATTAAGATATGTTCGCACAAGCGCTGGACCGACGGTGGATACCTCCTCTATGAAACACTCTGGAGGCCATATGGCATTGACATTCCGCCATTGAGGTTGTGGGTAAAATCGGATCATTTCGTGGATGTGAAAATGAAGATACTCTTGGCTGATTATCACTCACGGAATAAACTTGGGACCGTGCATAGTAAGCCGAAGAGAGGGCTGCAGACTTCTGGTAGTCTTGGGGTAAAGGAAATTAGAGATGCATTGGATGAGCGGAAGCTCTCACTGATAGCCAGTGGGAGGTACAATGATCGCACAGCAGGGTTGCTAGGAAAGTGTAGATGGATGATGAGGGGCGAATGGCAACAGAGAGGAAGAGGGTGGGCAGCTGCAATTGAGGTTGCGGAACGCTGGAGGCAAGCTTGGCAGGATGCAGATAAAGCAGAAGGGCAGATCCGCCTCAATCTTGAGCGAGAGGCGGCGCCTGCGGCACCTGAAGCTGCTGTGAACGCTGACAGAAATGGTATCACTTGCTCGAAGGAAGTGAAATCGAAAGTTGCGCCATCCCCGCCAGTGGTTTTCATTGACAGCTCTCCAAGCCTCGGGCAGCGTGACGGGGAGCACGCAATTGATTCGGAGCGGGATCATAGCCTCCGGCGGATTTCGAGAGATCCCCACAAGGTTACCAGAAATGATGAGGAGGAATGGAGAAGTTTCTTTGGGGGTATAGACTGTTTGGATCCGGTCGTGGTCGATGTTACTGATTCCTCTACAATCGGGGGAATATCGGAGTCGGGAGGAATTACCAGAACCTTCCCGGATGCTGTCGAAACGTGGCGTATTGGCCGCTCTGGAAGCTTGACTCCAGAGGTTCGGAATATGAACAGGACGAAAGGAGGATTCATCAATCTTCTCAAGCAGGATCGTTTCACAAGAAAATCTATATCCGAAGCCGCCTCGACCCCCGTGTCCGTGCACTCAGTGTCCGAAAGAGGAAGTTACTTAGCACATGAGCGGGAAACGATTTTCTCACGTTTGTTTATCAAAGATGGGTATAGAGGTGGTTCTATGGATGCAGCAACTCCGGCCGCATATAAACCAATATTGCAGCCCTCTGGAGTAACGGAGGCGCCTGGAGTCTTGGGCGGGACCTCGGCTGCAGTTAGCAGACCTCTTGATGGGGAGACCCATGAAGGACACCCGGGACCCCGGAATGAGGTGCCGCCGCTCAACTATACGGCCACTCAAGAAGAGGTTGGGGGAGGTGATGGTCGTGCTCAAGCCGCCGTTGCTGGAGGAATTCTCACCCGAGACGTTGCTACGCAGACATCCTCTTCTACCGAGTCTCTGGCAAGGTTGGGAATTGGGCAAAGCGTGATAATGTCTACTACAAGTACAAGAACCATTGGAGAGCAATTGGATGATGACTGGCGTGTGCGGTTTCTTAACCTTTTTTCACACACACCCGGTTTGAGTAATTTACTCGCTGGGGCAAGAGCTTACACGGGTGACTGTGGTCTTACGCAAGCCGCAGAATATGTTCACGGCCCAGTCGAGTCCTTTGGGGGCGGTAGTGGGCATCTGTCATCCCTTGGTAGAGAAGAAGCCACAGAAGGGGATCCGGGAGGTCACACTGGGCACAAGAAAGAAAATGGCCCAAAGAACAAGAAACATAAACGGGGAATGGCGGCCGAGAGTGGTCGGAACCCGGATCCACCGCCAAGGCTGGCATGCCCGCAACTGCTGGCGCCGCCACAGGACGGGGTGCCGCTGCCGCCAGACGAGGTCCGGGGGCAGGGAGGATCTTGGAGCATAGAGGAATCTTTGGTACAGGGGGTGCCTCCCGCAGAGGGGGGGGCTCCAACGAAGCAAGAGCTGGTTACGAAAGCTTTGAATGACAGCAAGAAGAGAGCGAAGGCAAGAGGAAAAGAGCTAAAGAGCAAGAAACAGGAAGAAGGGCTCACACGTGAGGAGTACAAAGAGTATAAGAAGTTGAAGAGGCTGTTGGTCAGATACCAGGCCACTAGGTGGTTTTTAGGGCAGGTCGACATTCTTATTGAGCGGCACAGGCGATAGTAGCCCATGCTAGGGCGTCTCCAGGGCTTTGTGAGAGAAGTTGGTGAAACATTGGGTTTTTTGTGGACTGTATGAGTGCAGCCTCTGATTCATTGTTACGAGGTTGTTTCCTGTTCTTTCTGGGGCTCCATTATCTTCTATAGTTTTCTCGAAGGTCGTCGGTTTCTCCGCGCTCCACCTCCTCAGTTTTCTCTAGCTCAGGGTGGCTGAGTTCATAGAGAGAAGAAGGAAAGTGGGTTATGGGAGATTGCGTTGGGGGGTTCTTGGCTCCAAGATATTCTAGTTTGCTGTTACGGTAGGGTACACTGCGGCAGTCTGCTAGTGTGGTAGTTAGGAATAGCAACTTGGTGGCATAGATACACCCCATCATTCGCTTACCGTGACCCATAGACTAACTTACATTGGTTGTGTATGTTGTAAGCAATCCTCCACATTACCTCCCATATATATGATATACATAGCCGGAGGAATATCGGCATGTATCATACTTCTTTGAAGCGCTGCGAGAGGATTTTATAGGTAGAAGGAGGTGGGGTATGTACAGAGGCCTGGGGGATTAGGGTGGCAACAAAACCAAGCCCTTCCGTTGGCCTAGAATATATCATATCATAGTACTGATATCAAAGCTGGGTTTGAGATTTCCTTCGGTGGGGCTGTCTCTTTCCAGCCGCTTACCATTCTGCCTCTAAAATTCCACATTATTTCTGCACGGATTTAACTGTGCTTTTAGGGGCAGTTTGAGCCATGAAAAATTTCTATCACAACTACCCGACCCCATTCCGCCCGCCGCAAATTCCGGGCGAACTAGGCCAGCCGCTACACATTTCGGAGTGGTCACGTGGAAAGCGGTACGGGTAGTTCTCTCGAGGCCTAATTCCACGGCCGATTCGTGCCCCCGGGGATAGTAACGATCATACAGGGGAGCAGCGGGGGGGTGGGTCGAGTTTACCCAGAATTTACGGGTGTCGAATCATTGCCCTCCCTGTGGCAACATGCCGGAGTACTAGTAGACTGGATCTCGCTTATGAGAGAAAGCCAACGAGTGCGGCCGATAAAATACATTAGTCACGTGAAATCCAAGATGCCAAAAGCGGCATATTGCAACTAGCGACACATCTTGGCCATCCCAGCACGACGGTCTGATGCTCATCCCTTGCCTTGTTGCCGAATTTCACATTCTTTTAGCGTGCGCACTAATCGATTAGTGCGGGTTTAGCCACCCTCCCTTACCATAGGCTATTCTCATTTGGTACACCAACTGGGAACAGATCATGGTAAAACAGCGCGAGCTACTTGTCCTAAGCGCAACCCCGGGGCCACCAGCCCTATTTGATTCCAAAAGCCATCAAGGAACGATCGCGATGGGGGAAATGATTACTCTACAGAATACTTCGCTTTCCCTCCAGTTTGCTCGACATCATACATGCTTCAAAGTTTATGAAATTCTGAGAAGCAAAAGTCCTTACAAAGATAGAGCTGACAGTGCAAACACTGATATGACGATTGCCTTACCTTGTTGCAATTAGGTGCTTGAGGATGGGAAAGGAGACGGGTACGAACTTCAGAGGATATAAGGAAAGACCTGAGATAGCGGC